CGCTGCCGTCACCTTCAACATGCATCGTCAGTCACAGAAGGTAGCACCTTACTCAGGATTGTTTGATGTTATCTTGCTGTCTTTTTTTCTAAACAAATGTGGATTTGTACTCACAGGAAATGTAAATGTATTGTCGTTGCTATCACAGGAGTTGCAGTTGTATCTGTCAGAGCTTGCCAATCAGATCGACAGAGAGACTGTAGGAGAACTGCCGCTGGTTGTTATTATAGATGACATCAGTGATCCAGCTAGCCTCACTGAGCTTGTCAACGGGGCACTCACCTGCAAGTATCACAAATGGTGAGTAAGATCAGACAGTTATAGAATGTCTTTTAAAGAGTTGAAATAAAATGTAATGAAACTACATAATTTCCTTTGTTGATGTTTCAGTCCTTACATCATTGGGACAACCAATCAGCCTGCCAAGATGACCTCTAACCACAGTCTGCACCTCAGCTTCAGGTGAGCACAAAGGCAGAACATTTTTTAACCTTACTTTGATACACTTTAAAATACAAAATGAAGCTACCATATGAAGTAAAAAATAAACTGTCTTGCATATGACCACAGGATGGTCATTTTCTCCAACAATGTGGAACCTGCTAACGGCTTCCTGGTGAGATACCTGCACCGTAAAGCTGTGGAAGCGTACCAGGAGAAGGAGCAGGACTCCGCACGCCACCAGGCTCTCCTCCGCGTACTGGACTGGATCCCTCAGCTCTGGTACCACCTCCACACCTTCCTGGAGAAACATAGCACTTCAGACTTCCTCATAGGTGAGAAACAGTGGACACAGGGTCGGTTAAAGGTATCATATATAATATTTCTGCATTTGATTCTAAAAAATGCATCATCAATGGCCAAAAAAAACCTATGTGATATATCTTGGTGTTGTGTACTTACCAAAATATTTTTTTAAACTACTAACAAATTGAGAAATTCGTACTTTTGACAAAATAATTATTTGGTAACACATCTCAGCATTGTGGTTTTAAGAATGTGCCAGCATTATACTTTTCATCAAGTTTAATAATGCAACACCCTGCTTTGTTATACCTTTATTTGAGAGAGCCCTATTCTCAGATAACAACCTATTGTGAATAAAAAAGAACACATTTAACATGAAATCACTGACCATGAAATGCTGCCTCCCCCAGGTCCCTGTTTCTTCCTGTCATGCCCAGTGTCAGTGTCAGAGTTCAGGCAGTGGTTCATTGACCTGTGGAACCACTCCATCATACCGTACCTGCAGGAGGGATCCAAAGATGGCATCAAGGTGAGCACACATACAGAAACTGTCTCCTCCAAAGTGTAACATTAGTGCTAACAACCAGCAGTTCCTTCCTGTGCCTCTCTACATGTTGTCTTACGATGTATTTCTGTCTCAGGTGCACGGGCATAAGGCAGTATGGGAGGATCCAGTGGAGTGGGTGAGGGGGACTCTCCCTTGGCCCAATGCACAGCAAGACCAGTCCAAGCTCTTTCACCTACCTCCCCCCAGCATCGGTCCAGCCAGTGAGGAGAAGAAGACCCCCAAAGATACACCTCCACCCAGCACCCTGGAGTCAGACCCACTGGTAATATATTAGGTTTCTGTTGAGAGGGGGGACTAGTTAGAGCAGAGGAGGCATAGGTATGAGGTGTCTGATGTCAGATGTCAGTCAACGAGTCTATCAGCAGCAAACTATTTAGGAAAAATGTGTGATGACAGACTGCACTGAGCAGCGCTTAATGAAAAGCAGATCAACTACGGCTTAGCTCATTTGCATTGGCAGTATAATGCCCTGCTAAATTGCAAAAATTGGCTGTTATCATCCCCCAAAATGTGAGGATTTATCCCTTTTTGTGTGTTTCTATCAGTTTTAATTCATATTGGTTTTGTCGTTTGGACAATAAAACCAGTTTAAGCTGTCCCAGACAATTATGATGGGCGTAAAAATAACAAGCCAAACAGTTCCCTCAAAATAAAATAATGTTTTTAATGGTTTCTTATTTGGCATAATGACTAAGATGCATTCAAAGAAATAGTTCATCTATGCCAGGCTAAATCTCTGTAAAAACCAAACTAATAATGAGTCTGTTTCCTCCTGCTATCCAGATGGCCATGCTGCTGAAGCTCCAGGAGTCTGCAAACTACATCGAGTCTCCAGAGCGGGAAGGCTGTCTGGATCCCAGTCTGCAGACGACACTCTGAGGATAAAAAGCGACTGTCAAAATCTAAAGAACTATGGACGTTATTACGACACATCGGGTGCGATCCCGATGAGACTTTAAAGACTCAATAAGTAACTTAATAGTTTGCTCAGTGAGCAGCTTCAACAATAAATGTAAAGGATCTATAGAGAGAGAGATTATGGACGAAGGGTTTGCTCTGCCCTGCTATCAGAAAGACAATTCAACTGCTTTTATAGGAAGCTGTGATGATCATGAGAGGGAAAGACATTGATTTGTCTTTTCTCTGCCCTCAATTTGTTCCCGATGGGATGTTGTTGACTCTGCAAGTGCATGGTAACCGGAATAGTATGATGCAAAATATGACCTATAATCCCATTAATCAGGACCCATTATTTTTATTTTATTGCTATTTTGCCACAACTTTCACCACAAACTATTGGTGCTTACTGTTACTGGTTTTCTTTGAAGTCTTTACAAAGAAATTCACCTCATAAGTAACTCTGATTTCTTCCAAAAGTAGGATCATCACTCGACCACAGCCAAAAATGCACTTTATTTTCTACTTGTGGTAATTGGATTTTAGGAGGCTGTGTCAGTGACCGTGTATTAAACAGGAATCATGCAGTTCAGTAGTAAATCCTCTAGGTGGCAGCCTCTACTCCTGCCTCAGTGCTTTCCTGGTGTGCTTTCTGACTTAACAAAGGTGCTTGGTATAATTTAACACATATTCTTTTCAGTTCAGCCATTCTGTCATTTATGGATGTAATATCAAAACCGTGAAGCTGTAAGAGTAACATGCATGAGTGAATAATTAATAGAAATGATGAATTGGTTTTAGGGTCAGTCTGTAAAGGAAAAAACATCAGTAGCCAATGGTTTTCTACCGTGGCCCTACTCAACAAACTGTATTTTTAACTCACAGAAAAAAACTGCTTGTTTATCTAGTGTACGGCCAACCATTTCTGGCTACGTTTGCGTATACTCTGTATTTAGAGATTGGTTTTGAAACAAAAACTTCTCTTGTGACAGATGAGGATACAGCTTTGAAAATCTTGATTTTGTAGGATTTTATACTGACTCATCTTCCACTATCATCTGTATACAGCAACTATCACCTGCGTTATCGGTGTTACACTCATTGTGACACTGTTTTTGTTAATTCATCACCAAGGGGAAATGGAGAACATCATTAAAAAAAAACTGCCATCAGCTGAAAGGAATCTAAAAGAAATGTCCTCATTCGGTTTCCTCTTTATACTTTTATAACATTTTGAAGACCTTCCTTTTTATGCATTGTTTGAAGAGTTATTGTAAGAGTAAGGGCTGGGGGAAAGAAAGGTTGAAACTCATTTTTAAGTTGCTTCCTCCTGTTGCTTTCCTTTGTTTGTTTGCACATAATATATGTTAGAGTACTAGATTACAGAGAGTATTTATTGCTCACATCTTGACTGTTCTTGTGATAAAGGAAGAAAGCATAAGAAAATGTTTAAGAGGAGGAAACTGTATGTATTATAGATATTCCTAAACCTCTCAGCCCTCTGCCCCTTTCACTCTGAAGTACCTCAGACTGCCATATTATGTCCAGATGTTCCTCTACTCTCCAAACAGGGTGCTGGTGGAAAGTTGAGACATGATGCCTAGTCTATCTGTGCCTGAAACACTATTTGGCCTCAAGCTGCTTTCGAGCAGCTTTAATCTACCACACAGAGGCCTCGATTTAGAGGAAACATCACCACTTCCTCTCATCTACTCTGATGTCACTTTAATGCCCACATTTTGATGGAAAATGGGTCATCGATTTTGACCTTTGGCTGGTAGTAACAGTGAAAGCTGTTTGTTAAGATGATATCTGTGTTGTTTGCAATAGATGAGAATGTGTATCATGACTGGACTGCTTTTGTGCGATTTGACACCATTTTAAATGGGTGACATCTTTGTGGAGTTGCCTGAGAGTTAGAAGCAGTGTAAGAACAGATATAACCCTGGGGAGGTAATGTTGAGCATGTATCCCTGTTGTTATCCCAAAGTATTGTTTCATTGGACCTACCTACACTTACCCTATCCTGGGAGGGATTTTTATTAACTGGATTGCTTCCTCTTTCCACATTATTTTTAAGAGCAGATTTGTTTTTCTTATGCAAATATTTGTAAATGTTTCTCCTTCTTTTATACATGACATCACATTGTAAACACTGTAAATAGTCAGTGCATCTGCGACAACAATCACTGAAACGTGTAGATCTAAGAGAAGGCATGGCCCCTGTATGCAGAAAACGAGAATCCTGTTTTATTGTCTTCCTTTAGGGGGAAGGAGCACTTGGCTAAAGAGGGGGCCTAACTGTGGTTGTTTGGCATGTCTCTATAAACACATCAAAATCCCATATGTCTAACATTGAGCAATGGACACAATAAATTCATGCCATTCTTCACATCACTACCAGTCTTCGCTGTGTTTATCCACCATGTTATCCACCAGGGGATGCTATAATCCTGTGTGTGATCATTTAATTGGGCTGTATGAGCATTGTATAGTGAAACAATGAGCATGTGGTCATTTTTATTATAGCAAAATGTAATTTGACAGTAGTTAAATGTACATTTTATTCTGAATAAACTCGAAACGCGTTGATTTTTTAAACAGGGTTTGTCCTGGCTGCGTAGGTCATGGAGTCCCTAACAGAGATGAGGATTTGACTCAAGTAGGGAGGGGGTATTAAAAGTCAGAGGATGGGTGGAGTTGTCTACAAGCCCCCCAACCCTGACGCTATATATATTAGTGAAGATCCCCCTAGTCCCTTTAATACAGAGGACTATCCATCAGCACGATGTCAAGCAAACCTGCACCCATGAAGAAGTCCCCGGCTAAGAAGGCGGCCGAAAAGGCACCTGAGCCCGCCCCGGAGCCTGCCCCGGCCCCCGCAGAGGCTCCACCTGTGGACGCTGCCCCGGCTGAAGCTGCTCCGGCAGCCGAGGGAGAGGCAGCAGCCCCCGCCGCAGAGACCCCCGCTGCTGAAGGAGGCGCTCCAGGTACCCTGCTGGGACCGTAAACACTATGCTAACTGCAGAAATCCCACCTGACATAGGATGCTTGGTGCTAAACTAACTTTAATTTGACTAATATAAGATAGGAAACGCGAGCTCACAGCATACAAGCGTTAATCGACTGTGGGTAATATTATGTATCTACTAGTTACTGAATTACTTGTTTGCAATTTAAAGTTTACGAGCACAGATGATAAAGCTAATACTTGTTTATGTTAACGAATAAAAAGTCAGATAATATAATACAGTTCAGTATCAAAACAACCGAGCAAGGGAAAGGGACAAACAGAAAGGTATTAACAAGACAAACGTAAAGAGAAATTAATTAACGTAAAGTACATATTGGGCTTTCAGAATTTCACATTTAACTTCATGTTCTTGTATAGTAGGCTTATGAACCTATCTCTGTGAGATATTCAGCAAATATACGAGTAGTTTGAAAATAAACTTGATGAAAAAACAGAAGGTGCTAGTTTTTTTTGCAAGAAAAAAGACAGTCTATGATGTTAATGTCTGAGTTACAAGAAATAGTCTACAAATATTGAATTCCAAGATTCTGTGTAAACAGCCATCCCGAAGGTCAATCACTGGATTTTTTTTTATTGAACTTCTTTAGCAATTTTAGTGGAACTGATCATCTGGATGAATGCATTGTGCAAACCCATGGTGACTACTTTCCTCATAACAAATCTCTAGTCCTTTGACTCCTGATAATCATCTCCAGACTGTAACTCACTGCCCACGCAGCAATGTGGTGAGACACTAGTCACAACTCTAGAGATAGGGGGGTGCTGCAGCTCTCATCACTCTTAACCCTAGACTGGTACTTGTTGAAATGTAGCCATCGTTCAAGGGGCATCTTGAATATTCTCAAATGTCTTGCATCCCTAAGTAGGCATACAGATGGCTGTCTCTTAATGCTGGTTATCAGTGATTGATGCTTTGCAAATGAGGACAATATTTGACCTGTAGAAAACTGGAATGAAACACTTTCCCAAAACTTTGAAGAGAGAAAAATACCAATGACGACATTAGTGAATTGTCCTCCCGGATCTCTTGTACATTTATTTACCGACCAACATAACATCTAATAAACTTGTGTTATTAATGACCCTTTTCTGCCCATTCATTTCAAGGAACAGCACAAATTGCATGAGACATACATCAGTGGTGGATGTTGTCGAGTGACTGGTATTGCTGGTTGCTTGCTAACCTTAACATGTAACCCCTAACTTCAGCTGATGCCATAGCCACTGAGGAAGGAGCTGACTCGACGATTCCTACTGAGGGTAAACATACACAAGCTGTAGTGCATGATGTGTGTGATGGTGTCCCACTGTGCACTTCACATGGTGTGTATGTTTCTTACTTATGATCGTTATGTTTACCTGGTATTTCTGTCTGTCAACTTTGTCATGTGTAAGTGTTCCTATTTGAAATGTGTGTCCTTTTAACCTACGCAACCTGCAAGGTTTCTCTAGTCTCTACTAGACGTGGATGTGAGGATTTTCTGTTTGTGTCTCAGTTTTTGGTACATAAAACCTTCTGTTCTTGTCATTGAATAGCTTCAGCCTCACTGCTTTGTCCTACTGCTTGCGTCAGTGGAGTGTATCTTGATCTTTTCAGATTGACGTGAGACTGATTGATTTCCTTCATGAGTAATGTCATAATGTAAGGCACTAATTGGCTTTTTAATGGCATTTTAACGCTAGCTACTGAAGAAGGTGCCATTGCTGCTGATGCTCCCGCTGCAGACGCTCCTGCTGCAGATGTTACAGCTGCAGATGTTCCAGCTGCAGACGCTACCGCTGTAGATTCTCTTGCTGCAGATTCCCCTGCTGCAGATTCTCTTGCTGCAGATTCTCTTGCTGCAGATTCCCCTGCTGCAGATTCTCTTGCTGCAGATTCTCCTGCTGCAGATGCTACCACAGATGGTAAACATAAACCACCAAAGAGACAATAACACTACTACTCAACCACAAAATACACTGCTTTATTGAGATCTGTGCTATCCCTCATGCTTTGCACATCTGTGATGCCCAGTGGATTATTAACAAAACTTTTCATTTCCTGATGTATTGTTCTGTCAAAGTCTGCATTTGCAGGTTGAATTCTTACTATATGGGAAATATGCTCTGGATATTTATCTTTATTTCTTGTCTTTGTCTCTAAAACAAAATTCTGCTCATTTGATGTTAGCTGCTCCAGCTGAAGTCGCTGTAGTTGTGGAGCCGCCAAAGGCCCCGACACCCCCGCCTCCTGCAGGTAACACCAACATTTACACAACTTTTTGTTGCAAAAAGGCCACAAAATTAATTGGTTTCAGCAATTGTGCAAACGATCAACTGATTATTTCTTAGGTTTGTTGGCAAAACAATACATTTGAAGACCTTGTGTTTTAGGAAATTATTGATGGAAAATTGCCCTAAATGATAAATCTCTTAATCGAGACAATAATCTGCAGATTATTGATAATATAAATAATCAGAAGTTGCAGCCCTATGCATAATCATGCTGTAGAATGAAGCATGTTTGAGCATTTTTTTTTATGTTATCCTTTTAATCTTACTGTCCACTTCAATCTATAATTATTCTCCACTGTTTCAAACCTCTTTCAGTCCCCACCAGTGCTCCTCTTAACGTATCTGTGGAAGATGTGAACGAAACCAACCTCACCATTAAATGGAACGAGCCACAGACCATCGGAGACTCTGGCCTGGACGGATACACCATCGAGTACTGCAAGGATGGAAGTACGTCTTATTATCTGTGTGTATGTCTGTGAGGCTGCACCTGTCCCCAGAGTGTCAGAGGGCAGATAGACTCATAGCCGTGTCCAGACCGTATACGGCAGGCAGCATTTCACCGGCTGTCACAGTATCTCCTCACACCGCTTTTAGAAGCGCTCGTTTGCTCAGATGACAACATCCCTTCTGAGATTTCCTCACGGATGCCAAAGTGTACTTCTTATGGGCAGGTTGTTTGTAAACTTGTGTCACCAGGCGATAAACCAATTAACATGCGCCATTAAAGGATGTTTTACAGTTTGAGATTGTAGGTAAAAGTAAAAGAATATATGTATACTTCAACGATCAAACTGAACTGAAAACAAACTTAAACAATAACTGTGTTTCCCTGCAGCAACAGACTGGGTTGTAGCTCAGAAGGAGCTGACCGTCGCTAACAGCTTCTGCATCCATAACCTGACAACGGGTGATCTGCTGCATGTGCGCGTGGTGGCTGTCAACCCCGCCGGCCGCAGTGAACCTGGAACACTCGCTCAGCCTGTGCCCATCCATGAGATTGGTGGTAAGTAGCAACCAATGTTTCACAACTGCACAGCAGACCACTTATAAGTGTCTACTTAAAAGAGTATTCCAAACAGCCCCAACAAATATTCTATGTGTGGGGCTCAACATAGGTGTACCTGTGTCAAAAGCACTCAAAATGTCCAAAAATGTTTTTGATCACGCTACTAAATTGGCTCTGAAATTCCTTACAGAATCTCCCTCCCCGATAGTTTTTCACATTTTCCCATTCACTGATGTAAACACAATTTGTTAGATGTCTGTCCCGAACCTCTTTATCACATGCTCCCTGGTGTTTGTAACTTATGACCCATCCACAAAGTGCTCATGTGGCAGGCGACGGGGTAGAAGTGGTATTAACTGCCAGAGCCTAAGATGGACTGCACAGACGTATGCACATAAATCCCACAGGTGCAGACAAGCCCTATCATTAGCTTTAAATCATGCTTGCACTTAACACGCATCTTCAGTCATATGTTTGACACCACAAATAAGAAGGTCAAGTACTCAAAGTTTCGACACACTTTCCTTTAAAGAAAATCAATAGCAACAGTCTATCAAGGATAATACATAATGGTAAAGTTTATATAAATAGCACTTGTGTTTCATAAGAATAAGATAAGATGGAATAACTAAACATGGAAACATTTGAATCAAATAGCAAGAGCAATATGAGGAAATACCAATAAACATTTATATATAAATATTTATTCACCAGTATAAATGTAAACTTTGTTTTAGCACTGCATGTTGGATAGCAGAACCATCAGTTATATTTTGTATGACAGTATTAGCATTAATTGACAGGTTAATGTTTAAATGCAGAACATTTATGTACATATTAGGTACACACAATAAAACTTGACCAAAGAAAATAACTTGATCCAGACCAGGATAAAAAGCATTTCATCTTCTATAGTCAGGATATGTTGCACTAAAATGGTTCTGCTGCATCTGTATTCAAGATGATTTAATGGAAGACTGAGTCAGGGAAGGAAAACGTTTGGCTAATGAGCCATCTGGCAGCCATATTTTCTTTTTACGTCAACCCTGTCAGTGTGACCCCACTGTCACTTTTTCACCTAAATTTATAGCGGTAGCTCTAGCTGTCGCGTGGTCTCTTTTATGTCTTGCAATAAAAAAAGATTCTTAAGTTCTCATTATGCCCTTTTAAAAATTCACTTCAAAGTCACTGTGTTGAGATGAGAGATATTTGCCAATCTCTCTATACCGGTATATGTTAAGAAGCGCAGCTAATGGCTTCAAAACCCACATGGAGTCTCCTGTAAAGTCATCTCTCCTTTACTTTCTGTCATTGAGGGTAAAACCTTCCAAAAAATAACTGAAGTGACCCCCGTCGACCTCGTCTTTCCTCGTTAAAGCTGAAGTTACTGTAGTTTTGTTACTGGAGCCATATATTTCCATCAGCGCTAACAGACATAGTAACATTGACGTAGTGCAGCGGACCTGATCTCACATGCTCTAGTTATCCACTTTCAGAAGGGCAGCTTGGTCCCTGAGGGTATTTCCTGGTTGTGGTTCAAACTGCTGAGGACAAACAGGAAACTTAAGTGGAGAAATGCGGTTATGGCATCTGAACTGCTGGTCAACTGAGGGGAGCGACACATGAGCCTAATTAATGGATTCAGGGTGGCTTGTTGGGGGGGTTCATTCAGCTGTGTGTCACAGACAGACTGTCCTGAACAGGCCCCCATCTCCATGTACAAGCCTCTTATAAAGACACGCTGTCCTGCATGTGCTGAAAGCCCCCCGCAAAGACACTTTATCCAGAGACAAAGACAGATTACAGATTGTTTGCAGGAGCCCTTGCTGTCCGCTGGATGCTGTAATTCCAGCAACACTTCCAGGCATTGCTGGGAAGTGTGTTGATTAGCAGGGATTACTGTTTGAGCCAAATCTGGAGGCTGACCTGATCCTTGTTGGGAGCAGAGGGTTCCAGGAGCCGGATCTCAGCCCCTGCAGTAATGATATGGTGACAAATGTTGAGACGAGGAAGATGAAACACAGTAGGCAAGAAACCTCGTTAGAAGGGGCCTAGAAAGATGCATAGGCATATGAGGACATTCTTTGTGGATGAGGAGGAACAGAAGCCAGAGCGGGGTGAGCGAGTTAATGGAGGTCAGCCGCTTGGTTTTATGTACCCAGTAAGCCCATAGAGCTTTCCAGACATTTGCTGCTTAAGCAGAAACATGCATCTCGACGTCCCTGATACTTAGCACCCTGCCATCCAGAATACTGGAAATATAAGTGACTCCAGTCCCAACAACGGTGCCATTGCATCCATTTCATTTTATCCACAGTATAGCTATGGTAACCAGCAGTTTCCACAAATAAGTTGGTTGTTTACAGTTTCCAATCTGTTGTACTTAAGTGTTTTTAAATGTGACACTCCAATCAGTTTGAAAGTGATGACATATTCCTGCTGCTTCTTTGTGCAGGACACGGGGGAACACATGTGGGGGTTTATCTGAGTTTCTCGTCACCTAAGCTATTTTAAGAGCTGCTGGGTCTTCCTCTTTTGCCCCTCTCTGCCCAGATACTGTACTTTTTCCTGTCACACTCCATTTTTACAGCTAGCACTCAAAATCATCAATAAGACTTGGACATTCATTTATTTTGGATTGGAAATAACCACACAGATGTGGATTCTTGGATGAAGTGTTGTCATTTAGTCTCGAAAATGTTAATAACTAGTGGGAACTTGTCCTTCAGAGTTGAAAGATATTTAATTCACTATGTTATTTGCATACAAGCTTAAACCAGAGAATGTTGAGCACTTTAGCTTTAAAATGTACTGATGAATTGAACATCGAAAAGCTGAGTATTCATTTACTGTTTATTGATAAACTGATCATTGAAATTCCCCCAAAATGTCAAAATCAAAACAATTCAAATAGATTTTTATATAAGTTTTTAACCTGTATGAACTCATGAGGTTAATTTGAGCTCTTTTAGTCATGTTCTCTTGTCAGCTTCGCCTCGTAGTGTCTGGTCTATTTATGTCTTGTTGACCTGTTTTACGTGACCTCACTTTGAAGACACAAAATTGAAGTGGACATATCACATGTTGTACATTGCCTGCTGGTAATGCTAGCTTAGGTGGTTAAGTGGATGATTTATGTATGTAGGTGTCCTAATTATGTCAATATCAAAAGTTAGGCAAAACTGATGATGGACGATGCAGTGGATAAACATATCTTGTTTTTCAGAACGTCCCAAGGTCCGCATGCCACGCGCTCTCAGAGCCTGCTGTGTCAGGAAGGTTGGAGAGCAGATCAACATGGTCATCCCCTTTCTTGTAAGCAAGCATGTATAAACCATCAAAAAAATGCACGGAAAACTCCACAGATTTTACAGGTCTTCTCTTTTTTTCAAACTCCTCAGGGAAAGCCCAAACCTGTGGTGTCCTGGCTTAAAGACGGTAAGCCGTTGGACACAAAGAGGGTCAACATCAGGAACAGTGACAAGGACAGCATCATTTTTATCCGCACGGCAGAGAGGGACGACTCTGGTGTTTACGAGATGTCGGTCAAAGTGGACAGCTTTGAAGACAGATCCACCATCGTCCTTCAGATTGTGGGTTAGTCTTTAGATTTGAGTTTACACTCAAACACACATGGAGGCACATGTGAGTGCTTTGGACAGGTGTAAATGTGGAATTATTTCAGACCTCCTCGTTGAATCTACTCAGCAGTTCATGCTGCTAGCTTGTTGAAGACCTGTGACTCGCTCAAAGAAATTTTAAGCACATCACACCTCTAACAATTATGTCCTTCGACACGGCTGTAAGCTGCTACTGTTTAAATGTCTGGCCCCACGTTAGAGGCATTAGCGTACAAACATATGGTTTAATTTTGATCTGGGGAGCAAACACCTTTCGTGCTTCGAGGAACACACTGGTTATTATTTCATCTTTTCTAAGTACTTTCGTGTCTCCTCAGAGCGGCCCGGCAATCCTACCAGCGTGAAGCTGGTGGACGCCTGGGGCTTCAACGCAGCACTGGAATGGACCCCCCCCAAGGACAATGGCAACACAGAGATCACGGGATACACCGTCCAGAAGTCTGACAGGAAGACCGGGGTATGGCCGATCTGAACATACATTTTACAGGTTGCAGAAATAAATTAGATGTATATTAGACACAAAGAGTTTAACAGGAGTCCCACGATAGATACCTGGCCTAAGTGTTGATGTAACATGTTGTAAATTCTTTCATTCACTGAATATAGGGCTATTCCATGCATTCATTTTATAGAACTGTTTTGATCTTCCCACTACTGCTGGTGACTGACTTAATCATTAAACACTGTTTGAGTGACAGTAACTTCAAGATGTTATTATAAAGATTATTTGTATTATTAATTATATTAGTCCATCATTTTGTATATGTGTCTTGGGTACTTCTCTCCCTTTCTTATTAATGTGGTGCCCCAGTCACTGCTGTTTTGTTTTTGCACCAAAAAACAAATCTGAAATCAAGGGAAATAATATTCTATCTAAAGATGTCAGGCTAATGATTGGTTAATTGATAGCTTAATGATGATAACCGATCCAATGAGGATGCATTAAAGTTACATGTTCGGTTCGTGCTGTGTTAAAATGGACGTCTGTTTTGTCTCGACCTGCAGGAATGGTTCTCGGTGCTGGAGCACTACCACAGGCTTACTGCCACCGTGTCAGACCTCATCATGGGCAACTCGTACATCTTCAGAGTGTTCGCTGAGAACCAAGTGGGCATCAGTGAGATGAGCGTTGTCACAAAGGGGGTTGCCACAATCCACAAGACAGGTGATCTTCTTCTTCAATCCTTAATTCTTCTTAGGGAAACGTGTCGACATGATGGATAATTTAGTGACAAGGCTGCAGTACAAGTGGGGACTTGAAGGAGCTGCAGTGAGTGTGAGAGAGTCTAGAGTGTGTGTGTTTAAAGTGAAGACTTGAGGAGTGGAAATGACCTTGGCACTGCTTCAATCGTGTGGGTAGGTCTCTTGGCTAGTGTCCAGCAACTACTGAAATAACTTTTAAGAGGCTCTGACAACATTAAGACAGCTGGCGGAGCAAATGTTACTCTTCCTGTGTGTGTCCTCGCTCTCTCACTTTTGATAATTGAGCCACTACTTGTGTCACTTTTCATGTAAACAACTGAGTTCGACACCATGAAGGCTTGCTAGGTCTGAAAATGTGTGCTGTTATCCCTGCATTTGTATGATTATTCCTTCCCCCCATCTTTATGAATGCATGCCTACCTTCTTCCAAAGTAGGCATTTGGTATTTTCCCTATGAACACATTCAAAGTATGATAAAGAGACAGGGATAGACATAAAAAACAGTATTGAGAGACTGGCTCGAGGAACGTGGATTTGAAAGATAATTGGCTTAACCCTTAGTGCACGAGTGACTGGACCCTACACTCTTCCATAAGTGGGTCAAAAAGGACCCGTGTTAGAATAATATGTGTTTTTATGCCATTTTGTTCATTTTGGTTAAGAAAAATTACTTGTATAATATTTAGTATTATATTTTGGTTCACACTAGAAATATTTTATATTTAACTTTTCACTATTTATAATTTTATAATTTTTTTTTACATTTTGAAAAAAACCTTTTGAACATATTGATGCAAAGATCTCCGCTATTCTGAGACCCTCACAGTATTCCAGTCCCTTTTCAAAACTCATCTCTTCTCCTCTTGTCTACTCATCATAGCCCATCAATCCATGCCGGTTGATCAAGTTTGATAGTCCTATACTGCCCACCCTAACCTTCCCTTATATTGTAAAGCGATTTTGAGTCCTTGAAAAGCCCTATACAAATATAATGTATTATTATTATTATTATTATTATTATTATTATTATTATTATTATTATTATTATTATTATTATTATTATTATTATTATTATTATTATTATTATTATTATTATTATTATTATTATTATTATTATTATTATTATTATTATTATTATTATTATTATTATTATTATTATACTGACAGGTATCAGATCTTGCTGTGTAAAATAATCTTCCTGAGAGGTGTCACTTCTGATGTAGTCTGTGTGGTCTACAGTGAATGTATTCCTGACAGCCACAGGTGATAAGAATCAAAGGTTCCCATAGGATTCCATAGAAAATGCATGCGGGTTATTTTTGACCCACTTATAGCTTGGGGTAGTAATACAAAAACTACAATTTCTTAAAATGTATAAAATTTAAATCAAAAATTTGAATGGCATGATATCCAAAACATGTTTTTTGAGGAATAGCTGGAATATGAAATGATAAAAAAATGTAATTACAAAGATACTTCAAGAAAACCACCTCACCGGGTCACCACCCACTTATGCATCTAAGGGTTAATAGCGATGTCAGAATTGGGAATTTTAAGGAGTTTTGACAGCGTGGGTAAGCGGAAGTGATTAGAGCGAGAAAACAGCAGAAATTCGAAAACAAAACCACTGTTAGCCTCTTGAGGTTAAAACGACTTGCGTGCCACATGGCTGCAGCTGCTGCAGAGTCAAAACTGTCCCATGCCAATCATTCTCTTTTTGAATTACTTGCAATTGTTATATTAGGGCATAGTCGTCAGTCATACAGTTGACACAGATGACATACAGTATAATAAAGTCTATTTAAAACATCCCTCCCTGCCCAACCCGGAAACAAGAGGGTTGACCTGCAAAATGTTATGAACAATACATATAAAGCTAGTGCCAATGAGTCATACCATTTTGAAATAAATAAATACAAATTAAACAAAAGGAAATAATACAAAATACCTAAATACAATAAAATCAATCGTATTGTTGGTCCATTTGTTCACAGGTATTGCCTACACGCCTCCCGAGTACCAGGAGCGCGACTACAGTGAGGCCCCGAAGTTCACCACCCCCCTCAGTAACCGCAGTGCCACGGTGGGATACACCACCAAGCTGCTGTGCTCCGTCCGTGGAAGCCCCAGGGTCAGACACTCACACACACACTGCTTGTACACACACTGCATGTTTCCCAGAAGCCCATTGATCCCTCTGCATCATTCCAATGACTCTTACTGTACCCTTTCCAGGTTGCAGTTCATGTTTCCACCACCTATAGTATATCTTATTAGTGTATCATGTCTTTGAACACAGTGACATTCCTGGTATTCCTGACTGATAACTAATGCCAACAGATAGCATTTTAACATAGAGAGGAGGCGGCTGAAGAAACATCTGGAAGAATCATGTATTGTTGGTATTTTTCTTGTTTTATATTTTGTACGAAGTTGCCTTATTTTTACCTGATACAACATTAGGTATTTCATATTTACCTTTTCGAAGGTTGTTTGGGGATCCTCGATCATTAAAGCATGAGAAACCTCACATGAGTTATTAATGTCGCTCCACTGTAGATGTGGGTTAAGGCTTGCACTGGTATGTCTGTGTGAAGCTTCAGTATGTCTCTAACTGTCTTGGCGGCTGCCGCTCTGGTTAAACTTATCTTTACAGTTGTCTGCCTGACGCAGACGGCTTAGGTTGCCAGCCGTGGTGCGTCCTCGCTGTCCTTGACTTCTCAGCAAGGACAGCAACGGTTCCTTGCAAATGTATTTGAGACAAATCAAACACAACCTGATATAGAGTCATGCCACTCAGCTGTGGAATCTGAAATGTAAAGGACTGTGGGTCGAGTCCTAGTTTGACTTGGAGATTATTGCATGTAGCAGCTTGGTTCTGGTACTAAAGCTTTGCATGAGTTGGTTGGTTTGTGAAACTGGACCTGTACAAAAGCCTAGAGGCAGAGACTTCGTTTTTTTAAGTAGTTTGTACTTCTTCATCACCACTGACTAAATCACTGTCACGTCAAATGTTGATTATGGATAAAAGAAGAACAACTTTCTCTGTCAACATAGCATACAGTACACTGAGGAGTTGATTACGTAGATTGACTAATTGAGCCATCAACACTAAGTGGACATCTAATATATAGGTGTCAAATATCTCCTCTTAGTGTCTGTTCTTGTGAACTAGCAGTTAACTGAGTCGTGGCAGCTGTGTAAAAACACACTGATCATATTTAGGGGCCCATTAGAAGAGAGGCATCCAATACCTCTTTAATACAAGAGAGCAACATATACACATGTTTGAACCTATACATTTAAATCCTGTGACAAGTTGATCCCTCATGTTACCACTCACAAACATGTATCTGTTGTTCCCCTCATGTCACTAAGCCATCTAATTATACATAATTACAACAATTTGAATCACATAATTCAGTCAAACTTTTTCTCTTTCAAAATCTGTCCCTATCACTTGTTTCAATTCCCTAGATAAGTAATTGTACACGGCCTGGTAACCATCAGCTTAATACTATGTACATTCAATTATTTCACATTTTGAGCACTTACACGTGTTATAACGTGCGTGTTTATGAGCTCTGGCTGAAAGTGAGAGCCCATAAGGGCAGCAGAGGCAGGTCCAGCAGAAAGGCATTTATAGTGATAAGTGGCCTTGCTGTGTCTGGTAAAGAGCTGCCTGTCACATTCAAAGGCAGAGACAACATGTGAAGCTGATAATGGAGAGAGGACAGATACACAGGGAGGACAAAGAAGAGACAATGATAAGAGGCGTGTTGTTCTGTAATGGCTAAGTAGAGATGTCGCTGTATCACAGAAGCTACTATTCCTGCCATCCATCCAGACTGCAGCGCTGTTATCAGTATGAATGACTCTCCCTTTACCCACACACAAGGATGCCCAAAGATAGAAATATGATGGCACAGGAAAGAGATAAAGGAAGATGTAATAGTAGGAGATAGGAGTGGATGGATTGGCTTGTCTGTACCTCTATTTTTCGTATTGGTTCCAAAGCAAAGTAACCCATGCAGCTGGTATTTTTATTAGGAATCATCTTCTGGGGACCTTTAATATTTGTGCCAAAGTTGTATTTTGGTCTGATGGACAGACGGCAGACACAACTGACCTATATTACGATCCACAGAGAAGCGCCGCTAGCTGGGATAAAAATGCATTACATCAAAATCCTCTCCATAAATCATCATGCCTTTGCACGCTGATGCCTGATTCCATGTGTTGATGCATTGATGCACGTATCTAAACTATGATCTCATTTCATCATATATTTTAGAGTTAAACCCCCAACGGTTGACCTCATGTAGAACATGCAGCTCTGCCAAGATAAACAGCAGTAGCAGCATTACCATGTGTTTGAGGTATTGGTTTGCAACAACATCAGAAACATCAGCTTCTCCCCGCTGCCAAAAGCTCAAATATATAGTACATGGTGTGATGCCAAGATGTCAATCATTTTCATCACCGTCCACCTTATCCACCAGAGAGGGCAATGGAGATGGAGAAATCACCAGACGACCCTAATTTTCCCTTGACATTGTTTGCCCAGCTTAGTTTAATCAAAACTAAGTTATACTTAAAGGTCCCCTTTTATACTGTTTTTCATCAATATATTATAGGTCTCAGATATATACAAAACATGTCTCTGAAGTGTTTGGCTCGAAATACCAAACAGATCGTGCATTGTAGCATCCCATAATCCCCTCTGTTTCAGCCCTGTTTCAAAAGTGCTGATTCTCTGTCTGTTACTTTAGATGAAAATAAGGAGCCACTCCCCACGCCCCTCTGCGAGATATTTGGTTAAAAAGAACACAATGGTGCTCTAGGAGGAGATTCAAGTGATAAGGTGGGCGGGGGGGTTACCTTGGTTGGTTATTGGCTAATGGTTACACAAGCCAACAAAACATTATGACATCATAAAGTGGTCAAAATCTGATCAGCTCATTTTCAGACAGGTTTTTATATAAATGGATCAGGATCTTCAGGATCTTTTATCCTGAAACTTTCAGAATCTCTTTACACAGAGGGGACACATGTTTATGTATAAAAGACATGAACAAGTGGATTTTGCATAATAGGTGACCTTTAATAAAATATAAGTTCAACAGCTTTAAAATCTACATCCTGGTACTTCCCTGAATAAGTTCAAACTTGCCTATTAATTTTAAAGACGTAAATTCAATTTAGTATTACACTTTGGATTTGAAAAATCAGCTAAAAGTTATTACTCCATCAGAGAATAATCTACTTAGTCCGAGACTGTTTGACCTTCTTTACCTATCTAAATGTATATGTGAGTTAACAAATATTCTTTAAGTAGAGGAAATGGTGTCGTCAGCAGCAACGAAGAACTAAATTTGTTTTGCACATCGTTGAGGAAGGAATGATACAAACCCTTCTGAATGCATCGGCTGACCTGAAATCTAATAGGCAGAGTCACCTTGCATGAGGCCGGACCGTGAGGAAATCCATGCAAGGACTGTCACTGAAGCCCAGAGAGGCACATACTTGAGGAGACTTGTATTACTCCAATATTACTACCAAACTGTCCCACTCAGCACATACTGTCTGAGCTGGCTGGAAGACATGTTGACAACAGACTGAAAGACCTGTTTACTCCATGTTAAAGTATGACAAAGCAGTTCTGATAAACAGGTCTGAAAACTGTACAATGGCATCAATAGCCAAGATAAAGAATAAACCAAAAAGAATCCTGCATGCATTTATTTCAGCTTAATACTGTATACTGTAGTTGATAAATGTCTCCCCTCATCTTCTCAGCCTCAGATCGAGTGGTCGAAAAATCAGATGATCATCGGTAACGACCCCAAGTATCGTAAGCTCACTAACGAGGGAATCTGCTGCCTGGAGATCCGTAAGCCTGGCAACTTTGATGGCGGCATATACACCTGCAGAGCCATCAACCCCCAGGGTGAGGCCCTCGTCTCCTGCAAGCTGGAGGTCAAACGTACGTATCTGCACACACATGAAGGACACTGTTTTAAGTGTATACAGGCCAAATCTATTCAGCTTTCTCTTTAAAGGAATGATTCAACATATAAGGAAATACACTAATTTAATTCCCTGCCAACAGTTAGCAGAAGATACCACTGTGATGTGCGCTCATTTTAAATCTGAAACCAGCAGCTGTTTAGCTTTGCTTTAGGACAATTGGTGTCAAGAGTTCACTAAGTGACAAAATGTCAGACAGTCTCTAGAATTTGGCTCATTTGGAGAATCTATTATTGGTACTAGTTGATGATTCCAGCTTCCACACATCCAGATTATAACTGCAATAACAACCACAACTTAATTCAATTAAAAAACATGAATAAACTGTATACTCCTGTCCCTACAGAAATTATTCAGGCAGAGTCTGGAAAGTAGAAGGGGAAATAAACCAAAACCTCCAGAGGTAAGCAACAAAGAGAAATATCCACTCCTGTGCAAGAGTGTGACAATATTTGCCATATGTCACTAGTTGAAGCACATTCAATAATTATATATCTTTCTCAAATGTTCTTTAATAATTAATTACACATATCATTGTAATCGTGTGTTACTATTGCTAGTGCTCATTTCTGTTTTCACGCATGTATGACCTTTCTGATTTGCATTGTCTTAAACTCGTAGTATATAATCAAAACTACTTGCGATTCATTTGTCCTTCCCTCCTGCCCTCTGTATTTTGACTGTGTGTGAGCCCTCTTGTCCTCCCTCCTCTCTACCTTCCTCCTCTGTAAATCTTGTTCTGGATGTTGTGCCACCTACTTTTGGATGTGGTAATGTGGCAGAGATTATTATCAGTGATAGAGAAATTCCAAATTTGCTGATTTTACAGCGTTAACATTTCTATTTATACAGTCACTCATAGACAGCCACATTTGGGTTTTGGTATTGGCCCTTTGATTTAAGCTGTTGAAATGCTCCTGTGGTGTAGCCTTTCACTGAGGCTTTGCTCACAGTGTCATTTCAACTGCTGGCAAGAGAAGCCTTATTAAAGTGTGAAAAACACATGAAGTGGTGGGAAAGGATGGCAAGAGGTAAAAAGACAAAGAGAAGGAACAAGGGAGGAAGTATTTGAGCAGGAAAGGGATGAGACAGATAACATGTTGGTAAAAGATGCCTGGATAGTTGAAGGTTGTTAAAGAGTGAAGGATAATGGTTTTATCTTAGTGTAAAGGACATACCACAGGTTCTTTTTACGGCTCTGTGAAACACTATCTCTTTCCATGCCTGTTGTACATTGAAAACATGTCAGCAAGAGGCCAATTAAATTATATAATGTTTTAGATTGCTCATATCGTTCCTCTGTCTTCCCCTCTTCTCTGTGTGTCTCCTCTCCACCTAGCGACCAACATTTAAGTATAAATTGGTCCTGACTACAATGGAAGTCGGCCTTCACTACAATAAATGCATATAAGTTCAAAGCAGGCAATGAGCTACATTAACTCCCTTATTTAATGTACTCTTTAAGCTGCTTTAGTGTGATTAGTCCTTGACGATAGTGTCCACGTCATTTAGTCATTATTTTTATTTCTACTTTACTTTCTTTATATTTGTTCTTTCTAAATAATTTTTCATTTACAAATTGCGAGCTGTATATTTTCATACAAACCTGTCCATAATAAATAAGTGACGAGGCCTTTAAAGAACCTTTTGGAGAAGGATGCGGTGTTAGGCACTGTGTTTTTTCTTTAAGTAGGTATGAGTTTAAACTGTTGTTTGTTTACAGAATAAACAGTCACCTTTATAAGAGATGTTTGGTTTACATTTCATTGAATATTAGAATCAGTTTGAATGTTTTGATAGATAAGGCTGGTGATATTCTGTCAGATTTGGAGGGTTAATTATTTCACTGCAGCTTGATGGAATGACTTTCAGAAAACTACATTTTTCTGTACAAAAACCCCAAATGGCATATATTATACAACGGAATAAGATGTATCATGCTTTACGTCACAGACAATGGCTCAATTAATTCTTTATTTGTTTTTTGGTCTTTTTGTGGGATCTGGAGACGATTATAAAAATATAAATATCACCAGACTCAAACTTGAGTTCCTGTAAACACACACTATTGCTGAAAGTGTACATCCAGATTGTGTGTATATTTAGTTGACAGTTTCAGAGCAAAAAAACTATATATAAATAAAATATAGCATTTCATTTTGGGAATTAACCTCAAATATAGGGTCTCAACTCCTTCTCTCGATATCAGCAAATAAACCGATGAAGTTGTTATGCTACATGCCAACTACAACGATGACCTTCAGTACGGTCAGGGACACTTGTGTTCTCACACTATACGTCTAATGGGGTCACATGCCTGCCTGACCACCCCCCAACGCTGCTCAAGTGATCAGATCTCAATACATGGTTGATGTGGATGGATGCATTCACACCTGTATTTACAGCTGTCCACTTCTGATCACGTTACCGAAGACACACTTTCATGCTAAGTGTAAACTGCGGCGTATACATGACAAGATCACGTTTGTGAGTGTCAGTCCCATTAGGCACAGCCGTACATGGGGGGGGCCCCTCAAGGGGAAAACGAGAGGTAACGCAGCGTGCGCCCTTGGGTGGGGGTGAGGGGTGATGTCAGCCAGCACTCCGCAGCTTCTAAAAGTTACTCCAGATGATTTGGCACACAGCCAAACTCCTCACATTACTGCAAGTCAACAGCAAGTGTGGAGTGATGTGAGAAGAAGGGAGAACGGGCTAAGAGGGCAGAAACCAAGCCAGATAATCTTCAATGGAAAATATACATTGGATCTTTCTGTCTCTCTTTCTCACTCATACACACACACACACACACACACACACACAAACACACGCACGCACACACACATCCACACAACACACACACTCACACAAACACCCATTCCTGTCTGAAGTGATTTGTACACCCCATGACCCCATTTAACTCTCTTCTCGCCTTAATTATGTTTCCACCAGTGTGTTTAAAGGACCAGCAGAAGTCCAGGTCTTATGTGTTATGGTGAGTGTACATTTCTATATGCGTTGTGTGTGTGTGTGTGTGTGTGTGTGTGTGTGTGTGTGTGTGTGTGTGTGTGTGTGTGTGTGTGTGTGTGTGTGTGTGTGTGTGTGTGTGTGTGTGTGTGTGTGTGTGTGTGTGTGTGTGTGTGTGTATCCCTCTAACCCTTTCTGTGTGTTTCTCTTATCTTGTTCAGATTGTTTGAGGATGTGATAGAGAGCCGTGGCTGCCTCTGCAGCAGTGTGTACATACTGAAGAAAGGGACAGAACAACATACCAACATCTACATATCTATTTCCACCCCAACCCATCCCGACTCACCCACTCCTCCCAGTATTTGGGGAAGACCCACATTGCACAACCCATCCCAGTTTGCCAATTGTTGTATGTTATTTAAGTTGGTGACATGTGTGTAAGGCTATATTTAAAACCTTCTGTTCTGCCTGTGTCCATCTGCTGTTTGTTACAGTATATATATATATAGATATATATTTACTACTCAATAAAACAGTGAATCCTTAGACATACTACTGCAATGACTGTATGGATGTTTAATACAAAAATAAAATTGTATTTTACTACATGTGTGCATTTCTACCAACATTTCACACAGTGCTACACTTACTTTTAGGATGGATAAATGTTGCTAAGCATTGGATTTTGGGCTTTCAAGGGGTGTCAAGGTGCCATTTTGATTGTGTGGAAAAATCCGGTGTCTGTGAGTGGAATGATAAGTGTTTTCTTTCTTCTCAAATCATTGCCACATTAGAAAAACTGCAACATCTGTGCCATTACACTAAAGGAATAATAGAGGGAGTCCAAATATATTTGATATCTCTCAATCTCTGTACATTTTAGCCTATACAAAATTGATAAGCATGCCTTATTGCCACCAGTGTTATGTGGTGTTTTTTGTGCAATATGGGTAAACTGATCCTTTAAATGAATACTCTATGGTTTCACCCACCATTCTTTGCTGCCGGTGTCTTTACACGCCACAGATTTGTTCATTTTCTTACACAAAACTTGTGTCTGTAGCAGTTTTGTGTTTTATGTTTGAGCTGAAAATGAAGGCTTCAGTTATATAGTAACATTTTCAGATCAGGTATGGGTTTATATACTCCTATTAATAGTGAGCTTGACTCAACATATGTGTAACCATGTGTCAGAGAACTACAGAAGTGGTTTTTACTTCTCCCATTAGAATAAATTGCAATCTAAATATGTTATTGCATATTATGATAATGCTACTGCTTTATTGTAGATGTATATTGGTTTGTAAAAAAGTTTTAAAAAAGTGTGCAGGACACAGTATTCAAAAATACTCTGAATATTATGACATCAGGGTAAGAAACTTTATATTCAGCATTTTGTTCTGCCAGAGATCCCGTATACAGGGTCAGTGTCTGATGATCATTTTCTGTGTTATACTGACACCTTATGGTGATTCAAAAACAAAGCAGGAACAGTGAGGTGTTTAATCTTGACACACATCTCAGCCTAACAGGAAGTTATACTTTACCACAAAGCGCATTGAAACTTCAGCACTTACTTTTATGCTGAATCATAAACACATTTAAATGACTTTAAAATGTTTACATACCATATATATATATATATATATATATATTATGGTCTTCAGCATTAAGTTCATCCTATTTGCATGTCTAGCAACTGACTTTGAGCTGAAGTCTCTGCACTGTTTGCGGTTAATAGGCTGGCTTTACGGAAGTGAAAAAACCCACCCAAAACCCTGTAGCTTCCTCTCATGTTCCCAAAATCATATCACACCTACAGGGTACAAAATATCTACCCTTTAGCTGCACTAAGATACAAAGCAACTTCAGAAGAAGCTATGGTTTTGGTTCAGCATTCTATTCTGTCTAAGCAGCTAAACAAAATAATGATTATATCTTGACTTGAATTAAACCATTCTTTTTATTTTCTTAACAATATTACTTTTGCAATAAATATTTTTACATAATCTTGACTTTCTTAGACAAATAAACTCTCTTTTTGGTAGGCTATACAACACAATGGGTCTTGTCAACACATTGGGTCTTGAACTTTGTTTCATTTCTCGAAAAACCCTCCTTGTCCCTTTTCAGCATAAATCGGTTATTTAAAATTCATATCGAGCACACAAACATCTGAGTGTGGTTGACCCACACATTTCCTGTTTCTTTTACCAAAAAAAAGCAGATGTCAGAGACAGGAAAGCTGCTGTCCTGAGGTGAGTTTAGAAACGAAGTTGTCGCATACGCCCATCTCTGTGCAGTGCATTTCCTTTACTGCACGGCACTGAAATGACTCAACCCAGCAGCACAGCCTCTACATGTGCAACTCGGTGGAAAATGTGGCTGTTCAAGATTTTAAGTGTCATATGTAAGTTTTTTAAGAATATCAGACTTATTTTTTGTGTTTTATCTAATTATACTAAGAATATGTTCATGTTCTTAACATGTGATTCATACTGAACAAGAATCTTAATTTGTTTTTACAGGTTTCACTGCTGTTTGTGCAGCTCAGGATCCTGAGGATGGTAAGGAAGAGTTTAAACAAACATTTTGTTGAATTGAACTGTAAACCAATGTACCTGTTATTAAATGTTCATGTTGCCTGTACTGCAGTAGACATAAACAATCTTTAGGAAGTCAAACTCGATGAAAGTTACCATGAGGAACATGAAGTAGTTAGTTGTCACAAGTCTAGCACTTCCTACAATTACTCAGCTGCCAGGGCAAGTTTGTATTTCAGTTTTCTGCAGATCCGCATGTTTTTCAGTTGACATTGTCTTCCCGCTCATGTCCTGCTCTTGATATGATATGATATGGATAATATATGTACTGATATATATAAAATATCCCAGTGGTATTTTAACTCTGAGATAGCAGTTTATGTTGTATAACTTGCATTTTACTATAAGGGGTTCTTGTTATTTTCTCTTGCCCCTCTTTTGTGTAGTATAACATTAAAATGTTAATGGTAGTGTCAAAATGATATGATGTTTGATTTAACTTAGTTTAAGAGTCTATCTTGATGGCAGTTTATTGCAGGACCAACGCATTTCATCTATGACCTAAACTTTCCGTTGATTTCATTATTTAGTAAGAGAGAGAGAGTAGAGCATAAATGCTGTCTGATTTGATCTTCATTCTGTTGTCCTCTCCTATCATCCAGCAGTCACCTCCTCCTTTGTTGATACGACCATTCCAATAGAGACCACAATTCCCTACGGTGAGACTTTAAACTCAGTTATGCTCTAAAGGTATATCTAAAATGGTGAGCATGATCATCCTGTAGATTGAATGAGGATATGACTTCCTGACTGGTCACCATAACATTTTGTAAAATACACATAATCAATATATGTACTTGCATTGATTTTGGATAATAATATCTAGAGACACAGAATCACGAGAAAGCAGAGCTAAAAAACAAAACAAAAATTACATTGACGGTAAATCTTCTTAACTGTGAAACAGCAGATAACACCTGTGAAATCATCGCGGGCGTTGACAAAGGTTTTAGCACTTATGTCATTTTTTCCATCTGTGGTGGTTTGCATCTAACTGACAGAACACCACAATCGGTCTCTCTGTCTTTTATAAGAAACCGGCCTTTAAATCTGCAAAACAAAAACGGCTAAACTGCTGCTGAAATAATATGTTATATAATAAAAATTCTACTTTACTTATATTGTTAAGCAAGTGGTCTCAAATACATTAAACTGCAGTCTGTAAAGAAATGTATTTTATTTAATAACTTGTTTTTACAACATGGCATCAATTGTATTTACTTTTTATTATGTAGTTCATGGATGGATATGTCAGCAATGGGTTGTGTCTCTAGTTGAATGATTATAATGGATCATATATTTTAACACGTTTCCAGAGCCTCCTGTACCGACTGTTCAGCGTCTGTCATCCTGGTTGGACGTGTTCCCTTCTGAGAAAGTGGAGTTTGGTTGTAATGTCAATGGCAGCTCTGACTGGACGATCACCTGGTACAGAGATGCAGAGCAACTACAAGATACAGATCCCAATGTGTCTGCATCGGGATCAAAGCTCACGATCACTGCAACCACAACAACAACTGGAAGATATTCCTGTAAAGGTCATCACAAAACAAAGCTAGATGTTACCACGGAAAATAGTGCACCAGTCCAACTCACAGTTTATGGTAAGTTTCATTATATTCCTTCACCAATATTTAGACGAAAGGGCAAGAAATTATTTAAATTGTATTTATTTTTCCTTTCTCATTAGCAAACCCCCCCAAACCCACTTTGACCCGGAGTTCAAAGTTTAACACGATGTTCCCCGGAGAGTCTGTCACCTTCACATGCAAGGTCAATGTGTCTTCTGGGTGGAGTTATCTTTGGTACCATAATAACACAGAAATCCAAACTTCTGATGCTTTTCGAGTTGACATAAATCATTCTAAAAGTGGACAGTACCACTGCAAAGCCAAAAGAGGCAAAAGCCCATTCTTCACAGAAGTGAGTGAAGCAACAACTCTACAGGTCTCTGGTAAGTTGTTTACATTTGAACTCACTTCACCAACAATAAGGAAACATTCATTTCTACATACATGGGAATGTAAACACATGACTATTACTATCATCATAACAACAAATAACTAGTGATGTACTCAACATTTCCATGTTCCTTTCTCCTTTTCTTTTCTGATGCAGTAAATCACTTGAATTAAGTTTTAACTTTCATTTCAGACACACCCAAACCGTTTCTAAAGCTGCTGAGTCCCTGGATGGAAGTGTTTGAAAATGAGACGGTGGAGTTTAGCTGTGAAGCGGAAAGCGATGACTGGACGATCACCTGGTACAGAAATGAAAAGGAGGTTCAGGATGATCTACACGTGGAAACAATGGACTCCTCTCTCAACATCACCTCGGTCACTCAAGCCTATCAAGGACGCTACTCTTGCAAAGCTGAACTCGAATCCAGGAAAGTCAGGTCTGAATTCAGCAACACGGCTGATCTGAGAGTTTATGGTGAGCTTTCATACCTCTGTGTAGCATTAATATAAACTATATTACACCCTCAACTATATTACACCCGATATGAGATCATAACCTTATCAGAATGTCATGTCTGCACGCTAAAAATATATATAGCCCTGCTCTGCCCAAAAGGTAACGAAGCCTGCTTATCTAGCATGCTATATTTTGTTTGTTAAAACAAGTGTGATTGACTAATCCACAAAAACAACTGTAACAGCTGAGATGTTATTTCTTGGCATAAAGCAGTGATTAACTGAAAGTTGTCAGGTTTGTGGATTGTGTTACACTTGAACAAAGATTAGCTGTTTCCCTATCGATGTATTATGATGTCTTATATTGCATCCCCCCTGTTTTAGTCTCAAGTCTCAAGTGCTATGTTGAGAATGATTAATGTAACTACATTAGCATGTAACTTCTCTTTGTGGTCAAATGTTAATGCATACATGTCATTTATCAGGTTTTGTGGTACTGTGTAGCAATAATAAGATGTGCTGTGATATGCCTTTCTGTTTTAGGAAACACACCAAAACCAACCGCGAGCAAGGGTCCTACTCTTAACCCGATGTATGTTGGAGAAACAGTGAACTTCACCTGCAAAGTTACTGTGTCCTCTGGCTGGGAGTATCAATGGTACAGAAATGGAGTACAAACCACTACCGGGGAAACCATCAGCATCCCTCTCAGTCTTTCTAACCAGGGGAAGTACTGGTGCATGGCCTACAGAGGGGATACAACCCAAACAGAGTTCAGTGACGAAATACAACAAGATGTACTTGGTAGGTCAAAATAGTAATATTATTTATAGCAATGTGTTTAGAGGATGTGCAATTGTTTGATGTAAATGTCTGAAATGCTGTCATTACTGGCTTAAAAACCTCCAGGATGCTCTTCAAATAAGCAAAACAGCATTTCAAGAGCTTCCGTTATTTTATGTATTTTCTGTTGAAACAGGATGTTGTGGTATAGCATGATGCAGAATGGATAGTTCAGAGGTGTGTCTCTGAACAAACAGTAAGGAATATAACCTAAAAAGAAAAGAAGGGTTTGTGTAGAGGAGTTACTCCTTTTAGCAGTTCACTTATGCCTCCTATGCATTTTAAACGTATCAATGTTTAGAGCACATCAACTATCAACTGATCTCTGTTATATTTTAAGGCTTTTTCGTTTAGCAACTTATGGGATATGTGCCTTTTCCTTCTTGGTAATACTTGATTTAATCAGTGCTTTTTACAGTTGTTTTATTCCAAACTGTGTGCATTGTGGAATATTGTGGTTGGTTTGACAACATTACCATCATTCCTAAGATTCTTAGGTTTTCTTGCCACATTCATTTCTACATACATGGGAATGTAAACACATGACTATTACTATCATCATAACAACAAATAACTAGTGATGTACTCAACATTTCCATGTTCCTTTCTCCTTTTCTTTTCTAATGCAGTAAATCACTTGAATTAAGTTTTAACTTTCATTTCAGACCCACCCAAACCGTCTCTAAAGCTGCTGAGTCCCTGGATGGAAGTGTTTGAAAATGAGACGGTGGAGTTTAGCTGTGAAGCGGAAAGCGATGACTGGACGATCACCTGGTACAGAAATGAAAAGGAGGTTCAGTTTGAGGTTGATCTAATCGAGGAACCAATGGACTCCTATCTCAACATCACCTCGGTCACTCAAGCCTATCAAGGACGCTACTCTTGCAAAGCTGAACTCGAATCCAGGAAAGTCAGGTCTGAATTCAGCAACACGACTGATCTGAGAGTTTATGGTGAGCTTTCATACCTCTGTGTAGCATTAATATAAACTATATTACACCCTCAACTATATTACACCCGATATGAGATCATAACCTTATCAGAATGTCATGTCTGCACGCTAAAAATATATAGCCCTGCTCTGCCCAAAAGGTAACGAAGCCTGCTTATCTAACATGCTATATTTTATTTGTTAAAACAAGTGTGATTGACTAATCCACAAAAACAACTGTAACAGCTGAGATGTTATTTCTTGGCATAAAGCAGTGATTAACTGAAAGTTGTCAGGTTTGTGGATTGTGTTACACTTGAACAAAGATTAGCTGTTTCCCTATCGATGTATTATGATGTCTTATATTGCATCCCCCCTGTTTTAGTCTGCGTGTTGAGAATGACTAATGTAACTACATTAGCATGTAACTTCTCTTTGTGGTCAAATGTTAATGCATAAATGTCATTTATCAGGTTTTGTGGTACTGTGTAGCAATAATAAGATGTGCTGTGATATACCTTTCTGTTTTAGGAAACACACCAAAACCAACCGCGAGCAAGGGTCCTACTCTTAACCCGATGTATGTTGGAGAAACAGTGAACTTCACCTGCAAAGTTACTGTGTCCTCTGGCTGGGAGTATCAATGGTACAGAAATGGAGTACAAACCACTACCGGGGAAACCATCAGCATCCCTCTCAGTCTTTCTAACCAGGGGAAGTACTGGTGCATGGCCTACAGAGGGGATACAACCCAAACAGAGTTCAGTGACGAAATACAACAAGATGTACTTGGTAGGTCAAAATAGTCATATTATGTAAAGCAATGTGTTTAAGAGGATGTGCAATTGTTTGATGTAAATGTCTGAAATGCTGTCATTACTGGCTTAAAAACCTCCAGGATGCTCTTCAAATAAGCAAAACAGCATTTCAAGAGCTTCCGTTATTTTATGTATTTTCTGTTGAAACAGGATGTTGTGGTATAGCATGATGCAGAATGGATAGTTCAGAGGTGTGTCTCTGAACAAACAGTAAGGAATATAACCTAAAAAGAAAAGAAGGGTTTGTGTAGAGGAGTTACTCCTTTTAGCAGTTCACTTATGCCTCCTATGCATTTTAAACGTATCAATGTTTAGAGCACATCAACTATCAACTGATCTCTGTTATATTTTAAGGCTTTTTCGTTTAGCAACTTATGGGATATGTGCCTTTTCCTTCTTGGTAATACTTGATTTAATCAGTGCTTTTTACAGTTGTTTTATTCCAAACTGTGTGCATTGTGGAATATTGTGGTTGGTTTGACAACATTACCATCATTCCTAAGATTCTTAGGTTTTCTTGCCACATTGTAGAGTTGATCATCTGTCATTAGATATTTGATCTACAGCGCCTTTCCTTCTTTCCTTCAGTCTTTAAAGGTAATATTTGGTATTGGGGTCATGAGACAAATTCAATGAGGATCTATTTTAAACCAGCAGGAATCTGCAATTGCTGTATTGTTGTATTATAATGCATCTACAAGAGCATGTTTTCCACACAGAACCTCACAATCTGCTGAGTGCAATGACCTGAAAAAGTGGTTCATGAGTAATAAATGGGTGTGACTTAATCATAAGTGTCAGGGCTAACCAGCACCATTGAAAAAGGAACTCTTATGAACATCTTAAGATTTTAAGAGGTTTGATATAAAGCTTAAGACTTAACCTCCTCTTTTATTTAAGAGTCATTTAAGGCTTTTGCTTGTACATTCTTATGGTTTACTGTGTGGTCAAATTAAACGTAATTACATAATTAGAGTATAGATGTTTATGCCTCTCTTGTCTCTCCTTCTCTCTTTAGAAATCCCTGTCCCAACTTTGAAGCGGATCACACCGTGGCTGGATGTGTTCCCCACTGAAGGTGTGAAGTTGAGCTGTGGGATGAATGACAGCTCTGACTGGATTTACAAGTGGTCCAAAGATGGAAATGAGGTTCAAGCTGACAAGTCTCCATCTTTTGACTTGAAAGGAGCAACCCTTTCCATCAGCTCGGCTTCAGCTGCACACACGGGACATTATACCTGCAAGGGACAGCTGGGCCAAAGGTCTGTCAGCAGCCGCTTTAGTTCTACACTTAATCTCACAGTATATGGTAAGGGTTTTTGTTATAATTGGGATGTGGGGGTATTATAGCACGATTCATTTTTCTTCATTTTAGGTACAATTACACATTTTGGGGGAACATGTGATATGCTTGGGGTGGGATAAATAACTCCATACTGATAGCAATGGCATGTTTTCTGACCCTCAGATAAGAAACCCACAGTCCTACTGCAGCAGGATCCAGAGTACAACGTGATGTTCCCCGGAGAGTCAGTCTCCTTTAGCTGTCACATTGATGTCTCCACTGGATGGGAGTACCTGTTTTACCAAAATAGGAAACCCCTTAATGCATCTGGAAACAAGTATCCAATCAGCTCTGTTGACATAACACATTTGGGATCCTATACATGTGAAGCAAAGAGGGGCAGTGGCCAAAACTATTTCACCATCATCAGTCAGGCTATTGGCCTTAAAGTTGAAGGTATGACTTCTTCTCAAAATGTATTTATACTTTTGTTTCAGGCGTTGGAAGAATTTTCCAGTTGTGATACTGCAGTGGTCGCTCCTGGCTAGTCAGATGTTTTATTAGATGTTTACTGTAATTATTTCTTCTTTGTGTTTTCAGGGAACAAGCCTAAGCCATCGATGACTCAACAGCCAGATGTTGACAAGGTGTACACTGGAGAATCAGTGTCCTTCGAATGTACAGTTGAAGCCTCGACTGGCTGGGTGTATCACTGGTTCAAAGATGGAACACCACTCCCAATCAAAAACCGTACTTTCAGCATCAATGATGCCAATTTGTCGAACAGTGGGAGTTATAGTTGCATGGCCACAAGAGACAAGACTAAGTATAATACACAGCACAGTGAAAGAAGGTCCTTACGCGTGTCTGGTAAGCCAAAGAAAATTACTTTTGTTGAGGAAAAATGTTGCCTTTGTCTGTTTTTTAAATCGATTTCATGTTATAAAATGTTACGGTAAAACTCACTTGTACAAAATAGAAAGAGGGTAAATGTAAGAATATTTGAAATTGGCCTAATACGTCTGTTTTTCTCCAGAAATCCCTGTTCCATCTTTGAAGCCGATCACACAGTGGCAGGATGTGTTCCCCACTGAAGGTGTGAAGTTGAGCTGTGGGATGGACGGCTCCTCTGACTGGAAATACACATGGTTCAGAAACGGACAGCTGGTCAGGAAGGAAGATGAAGTTCTGTATTTTGGCTCCGATGCAGCTACTCTCTCCATCAGTTCTGCTTCAGCCTCTCAGCGTGGACAGTACAGCTGCTCGGCACAACTCAAGAGCCGCTCGGTCAGCAGCAACTCCAGCTCTGAGACAACACTGGAGGTTTATGGTGAGAATTTATTTTTTATTTTTTGATACAGTACTTAAACAGATTTGTTTTTTAAATTTCGATTTACATGTTTTTTCAACATACATTAATATGACCTTTTCAAGCAATATTATACTATGACCTTTTTTCAACATACATTAATATTACCTTTTCAAGCAATATTATACTATGACCTTTTTTCAACATACTATACCATGACATTTTTTTCAAATGTTTTTCGACATACTTGACTTCTTTTTTTTAATTTCGACTTACTTTACTATGGACTACAGTATTTTCCGATTTACTTTACTGTGACTTTTTTCGACATACTAAACACTATTTTTTTAATTCTTTTCTTTACAACATGCTATATTAGGACTTTATTTCAAAATACTATATTAGTCTTTATATTACGTTTTCAAATTTTTCGACATACTAAATATGACTTTTCTTTAAAAATGTTCGACATATGACCTTTTTTCAAGTTACAATACTATGACTTTTCTTTGTTCGACATACTATGATTTTTTAACAATCTTTTTGACATACTATACTAAAAACCTCTTTTTCAACAAACTTATTATGACTTTCTTTTTTTTAAATCGACATAGTACACCATGCCTGTTTTTCATATTTTGTGTACATACTATATGTCCACAGTATAACTTCATATCCTATGACCTTTTTTTAACTTACGACTATGACTTTTTTTTCCAAAAATGTCCACACACATGTTTTGGCCTTCTTTCACATTTTTGATCTACCATATTATGACTTTTTTAAACTTGTTTACCATATTACGACTTACTATTACATTTTAATGACGTGGCTGTGACAGCTGAGGAGAGAAACAAATACAGACCTGAAGACAGACAGTAAAGTGAAGACCCTTTAATAATGACAAAATAGACTTACAAGCATGAAAAGCATGCAGTAGAAAACAGAAATGTAATGGAACTGTTATTAAGCACATAGAGATAGTGGGAGATGACCAAGTGATCTGACAAGAAACATGTGATTATGACAGGTTCATATAGAGGCTTTGGTAATGAAGAAACTGGGTAAATGTACTGATTTTATAGTTTTGTATTAACCTTGCATTGGGTTAGTCACATAATTAATTCTCCAATCCTCCCAACCCGTCAATCTGAATTATGTTGCAGTGATCCAGTGATCCAAGGAGTCATCACAAACTTAATAGAATCTTACAGACAATATATACTAATGGCAGCTATCCCACAATCAATACTTATTGCAAGTTGAAGTGATGTTACCGGTCAGAACTTGGCAAGGTCTTAAAATGTATGGAGAGGGGCTAAAAAGGTATTAAATGTAACAATTTCTTCTTTGAGTAAACAAAAAACAGGTTTTCTTTGGGAAAATGTCAGCATATCACCAAACAGCCATTTTAGGCATTTAGTTACAGGCTTCTCCTTACTGTGGGTTGTGCAATGTGATATACATTGAAAGGCTATAATACTAATAGCACTGGCTTTGTTATCTCTCCTCAGATACAAAACCCAGAGTCACACTGATGCAGAATCCCAAACACAATGTGATGCATACCGGAGATGCAGTCACCTTTAGCTGTCACGTTAATGTGTCTTCTGGATGGGAGTACTGGTGGCTCAAAGATGGCCGTTCATTCACCTCTAAATACAATCACACCATCAGCTCTGTTGTGACAACAAACACATCATATCAATGCCAAGTTAGGAGAGGAACAAATACAGCCTTCCGCTCAGACCTGAGCCAGGCTGTGGGACTCGAGGTTAAGGGTACGTTTTTGTTCAAGTTTCAAGTCTCAAGACTTTTATTGTCATGTGTGCATAGCTACAGTGTATTTATGACACTTTCAATTCAAAACCTTTATTTATCCAGGTGAAATCCCATTGAGATCATTGATCTATTTTTCAAGGGAGACCTGCATCAGTAGGTTCCACATGAAGACATAAAAACTAGGGCTGTCAAGTTAACGCGCCCACACACGCCCTCCCTCTCCACACACACACACACACACACACACACACACACACACACACACACACACACACACACACACACACACACACACACACACACACACACACACACACACACACACACACACACACACACACACACACACACACACACACACAGTATTGTATGAGAGAGGTTCTAGGTTGAATTGAGGCGAATATTTGTAATGTTCAGAGGTTGTTGTGTTTAATATTCATGAGAATATTTGTCATTGTTCAAATGATAATAAACAAACATATAAAGCATAGTTGTCCACTCATATGTTGATAAGAGTATTAAAAACTTGAAAAATATCCCTCTAAGGTACATTTAGAACAGATAAAAAATGTGCGATTAATTTGCGATTAATCGCGATTAACTATGGACAATCATGCGATTAATCGCGATTAAATATTTTAATCGACTGACAGCCCTAATAAAAACATAAACAACAGAACAACAAAAGGACATAAATGAAAATGAAAATCTTAGGTCACAGGCTTCCTTCTAACATTTTTTTGAATGTGTGAAATTAGTTCAGAACAGTTTTGATTGTATTTCTACAGAGCGCCCAACGGCTAATATAATCCTGTTAACTGGCTGGTCGGAAGTCTTCTCCACTGACAGCTTGGTGCTCCAATGTGAGATGCCAAAAAGCCAGGACATATGGAACTACACATGGTACTAGACATACAAATAACTAGTTACAATAATGCTTTGGAGGAATGTTTACGAAAGTCATTCACGTGTATGTTGTGGATTCGCACCTTCTCACAGGTTCAAAGAGAGACGTCCAATCAATCTGATCTCTGAGAAGCACACAGTCACACCCCAGAATAACCCTGAGCAGAGCCTGTACACCTGCCAGGGAACTCGCAGTGGTAGACCAACTTATTCAAAATTCAGTGAATCTTTCACAACCAAGAACCTACGTGAGTAACTGAGGTCGGAATAAATGTAATTTTTACTTTGAAAATGTTCTGTCCCCCTTTCATTCTGTTTTACATGTTTTATCTGCAGTTTTGAAGAGAAGGGTGCTTCTCTCCATCTCTGGCCTTATCTTCTTTGGCATCATCGCTGTCCTCCTTGGATGCATTGTCCTCAGAGTCTTCCGGAAACCAGGTTTTGATTTAGTTTTGAAAACTCTTTAGGTGCATGGATTGTCAAAATCGAAATTATGAAAAAGCCATATTCAATATTATCATAGTAACACGTTGAATTTATATTTGCAATGACCAGTTAAAGAGTCAGATATTTCCCTCAGGAGATAATTGAACCCAAAACAGACTAAAAAGGAATTAATGTAAAGGTTGTTTTTGCATCTTGTTTCTGCTGAGTGTTATTGCAAGTATAAATGTGACCGCTTCATGTCATCTCAAATGAACAAGTCACAAGAAGGTGATCTATTTTTGTTTTTACCACGTAGATGATGGTGACGAGAAGCTAGAAGAAACAGAGCTGTTTCTCACCATGGCTCAGCTTAAGGAGCGTGATGGTATGTTGGCAGCATCTCTCGTGGGTTTGTGATTTTGGTTGCGGTTCCTGCAGAGCCCCACCAGTGATTTATTTGTGAAACTGCCTACCGACAGTTTCAAGTTACAATCTGACCATCAAGGTTTGCCTTTAGCCTTTGTTATTTTGAAAGTTCCTTCCTCCCTACTGCAGATGCACCCTGTCCAATGGTTCAATACATCACTGATGCGGAACTGAATTCTTCACCTAAGGGTAAGAAAACTACAGATGAGTTAAGCTGTATTACTATGCAAGTGTTTTGAAAGTTCTCTAGGTTTTATCCCTAATTGACATATTATGTGTTTTATTTATTTTTTAAACAATCTGACTTGCAGAAGGGGAAGAGAATGGAACAGCCTGCAGTGAGACACCATTACCAATAACCTCACACGAGGATCAAGGTAAGGAAGTTTCCAAATTACACTTTTCTGATTTAAATATTATCCCTCTGATACATGTTTTTTATTATCCTTATGTTTTTTTTTTGTATTACCTACTTTGCAACTTATTTTTTATTGTTTATGTTCGCACCACCAGATACCAAAGCAAATTCCTTGTATGTGTAAACGTACCTGGCAATAAACTTGATTCTGATGACAGGTGCTGGACCCACTGACCTTCTTTCTTTATAACTAAAATGTCCTCATACCTTCATGTCTTTCTAGCCGTGACGATTGAGAGCAGCGGTACAACAGAAAGCAATGGTGGGCTGGTTTCCTTTAAACAATAACTCAACATACAACACCGGATTGAGTACAAAAACCTCCTGCTCACATACAAAGCCCTCCACAACCCGACCCCCACCTATCAGGCCGATGGGTGGGGGTCCTTCAGCACAATAATGAATCATGGACCAATATATTGGCTGGCATTGCCATAGAGATGTGTACACATTTTTTCTGCACAGAAAATTGTTTGGTTGAATTAGAATTGTACATATTTTATTTCACATCATTAAACTGTTAAAGGGAATACAAAAAAAAAAGTATTATTTATGTAATAAATGAATGTTTATGTTTAACTGCTGACAATTATTCAATTCACTGTAAATATGTGTTAACTGAAGGAGAATTAAGTACGTTTTCAATTCTTAGAGCTACCACCTGTGGCCAGATGCATAGTAGACATGTCAGACAAACCTTTTCTCATAAATTGGTCTTTTTAAAGGAAAATGTGTGTAAATTGCTTCAGATGAGACGTACTCTATGAACTTATCGTAAAACCTAATTTGTTTGCCTATTTAAATGATTGTATGATTATTTCTGCAGCCCACACAGCTTTATGTAGTTGGTTTCAATGAGAACTTAAATAATTCATTAAAGATCTTTCTAACGTGGATGTCATACATAATGTAACTTTGTATTAAAAATAGACTGCATACTATACTATGACTTCATTTGAGTAAGTATTGATACATTAAAAGGTAGATTTATATTTCGGACATAAATAATTGTCTGTCTTTGTGTGAACACATCGGTTAGTCGTGAATGTTATGCATCTTGCCCCAGAGGTACGTGAATGTAAGTTAGTCTTCTCCAAAGCTTTCAGCAATGAGTGTTATTTTTTTCTTATTTTTATCTAAAGTGTGCAATAACAATGTCATACAAGCAATTTTGTCTTCCTATGAAATAATCAAAATAAAAAATACAAAATGTTGCAATGAGTGTTCTTTCAAACTAAAATATCTGATATAACTGCAAAAAAAACACATTCAACCAGTGTGGGTTTAGCAAGTCAAGTCCAAGTGTGACTCAGTGGTGATGTCCTGTCCATCATGTGCACCTGTAATGAAAGACACAAGGGAAATAAATCATTAAGGATATTATTTTACTCAAAAGAAGCAAATGGGCCATGTGTAAACATTCAAGATACCTACTGACTCACATCTACTTGAGGATATCAGCCAGTTTCTCCACATAATATTCATAGTTCTCCTGACAATCCTCCCAGGGTTCAAAGATCTCTTCCTCCTTCTCCACATACGTTTCCCAGAGATGTACAAAGTCAGACGGCTTCATCATCCGCAGTTTGCAGCCGGCACTAGCCAGAGCTCGGAGCCCTTCTACTATCTCCGGCTCTTCCCACTCAAAGAGACGGGAGATGAACATGCTGAGATGGACTTTCTTACGTTGCTGGAGTACGATGGCCAACTTAGCTGTACAAGCCACACAAGGACTGGATGATACATACCATGTGACATCATACTCTTGGGAAGGGTCAGGGAGCACCTGAAAAGAAAAAAGGTTGACGATTTTGAAAAGCAAGGACAAAAAACATTAAAGGTCCCCAATTATACTGTTTTTCATCAATATATTATAGGTCTCAGATATATACAAAACATGTCTCTGAAGTGTTTGGCTCGAAATACCAAACATCATTCCCATAAACCCCCTCTGTTTCAGCCCTGTTTCAAAAGTGCTGATTCTCTGTCTTTTACTTTAGATGAAAATAAGGAGCCACTCCCCACGCCCCTCTGAGAGATATTTGGTTAAAAAGAACACAATGGTGCTCTAGGAGGAGATTCAGGGGATAAGGTGGGGGGGGGGGGGTTACCTTGGATGGTTATTGGCTAATGGTTACACAAGCCAAAAAATCGTTATGTCATCAAAAAAATCTAAAAGTGAGCGAATCTTTTCCCCTGAAACTTTCAGAATCTCTTGAGGGACACATGTTAATGTGTAAAAGACATGAAAACGTGGATTTTGCATAATAGGTGACCTTTAACACAGGAGTACATTTTTCCAAATGTAAGATTATAATCAAATACCCCAGGGGGTTCCAACTGTGTTTTATGATACTACAGCAACACAAGAGCATCATTACCTGATGAAAGAAGGCCTCTTCAGCATGAGCTGTGGCATGCTCATCCTCCATATAACCTCTCAGAGGCTCTGTGCTGCCTCCTGGTGTATCCACTCTGAAACACAGCAGGGTCTTGTTCCTCCCCGAGGAGTATTCAACGTTCCTGAACTGAAACTTGAAGTAGAACGGGCTCATCTGTTCCCTGGTGGAGAGGAACAGTTTTGTTTACAGAGAATACCAAACCAAACAATTCATAACAAACAGCACGAGATGTCTTTACTTTCACTTCTGTTACCTAGCTGCTATCACACTACTTTTTGTTGTCCACCTGGATGTGTATTTTTGTAAATTGTAATATGTGTCAATTCCATTTGTATCTTTAATATTTTTATGAATGCCTCTTAATTCATATGTTGCTATTTTTGGCTCTTCACTTCTGCTGTAACAATGTCAATTTCCCCTCTGTTGGACGAATAAAGTTATTCTGATTCTGATTATTGGGGCTTTTTAGGGCATGAATGTTGAATGAGTCAAAAGAAAATAGCACGTTGTATATATCAGCTTTCAAAGTTATCCGTCACCTTTAATTGTGGTGCATGACAGTAACTGGCATTCACTTCATCTCCTAAAACAGAGCATGAGTCTCTCATTTTGTGTTGAATTTGTCAGCAATCCAAGCCACAAAAAGAGTGATGGTAGTCCATGAAATGGTGACACAGTGATTCGAATATTAATGAGGCTACCGCTGAGTAAACTGATCTTTCTATAAATATTTTTATAGCTATCACATCCTCCCATGACCTGAAGATGTGCATGATTCAGCAGAACAACAAATTACCCCTACTTTCTTTCTTTATGAACCTATTGTTATGCTGTTTATGAATAGCCAGATTGGGTTCACAGATAGATCTCTTATATCAAACAGTTAATACTCAAAGGACAGAGAGTGGGGAACAGATGCTAGGCGGATGATATATCAGGGGCCTGCTTCTGTGTCTGCTGTGACTCATCCCTATTCTTGTGCTGGGTTAGTGAGGATGGTATGTGCAAGTCATTATTTTCCTTCCACATTGAAATCATAGAACATACATTTGATACAATATGCCTTACAAAAAAACATCAAAACTACTACATATAAAAACAAAACGCCAAATAACCAACACGTGGATGTGTTAAAGAGAATAACAGTTGTGTATGTCAGACTGACTCTGAACTCTTGTTGTGTTAATTTGACTCACCCTGTGACAATCTCAAATGGTGGCAGTTCTATGGGCTGATACTCTCCATTTTCTTCACTGACGTTTGCCTCAGGCTCAGCTCCCGTTGCCCCTTCACTTTCCCCATTCGTCTTCTCTTCCTCCACCTTGGGCTGCTCAGGAGTCGTCTCTTCCTTTTTCACAGGTTTCACAGGTTTCACAGGTTTCACAGTTTTGTCCGGCTTTTTCACCACTTTCTCCTTCCCCTTCCCCTTCTCCTTTTCTTTGTCCTTCTCATCCTTGGCTTTGTTTTCTACCTTCTTCTCTTTCCTCTTAACAGTGACCCGGCTGTTACTGTCCGCCATGATTTTGAGCAAGTGGGTTAGAGTGTTAGATAAAGAGAGGGAGGGAAAGGGAACGAGAAATAGCTCAGGGTAAGTACTGAGATAACCCTAGTGCATTTACAGAAATAGATCCTATTGTGTGGTTAGATTCACAACATGTGTCAGGGACAAGTTGACCCACTCCCTCTTAACATGCCCTGGTTGTTGGAAGTCCAAAACATAGGTCCTGAGTGAGTCCCGATTAACTTAAGAGACTGGACTGTCTTAGCAAATGTAATACAGCTGCCAATCTAAGAAAGGAAACTACCATATTCTGTGTATGAATATAAAAACTTTAAACAAAACTAGCGGCAGCTCTTTAATCCATCAGGCTTTGACTGTCAACAGGCCAGCAGCAGGCAGGTTATTTATACCGATGTTTGGCTGTGCGTGTCTGTGTGTATAAGGTAACCAGGGGTCTCTTGATACTTTTGTTTGTGCCAAATTCATCGGCCTGCATACCGTAGACCTTAGCAATACACAAAGGTCAGGGAGCGGGCGCCCTGGATAAAGGGCAGTGCGGTACAAGACAAACACACACACACACACACACACACAAACACCAATCTAAGAGAATATTTCCCTGCTAGAGCTCAGTGTTACCCAGTGCCAATAAACGCTCAATCTATGAAATCACCCAGCATCAATATGGTCCTCTGCTGGGGCCATTTTATGGGGGAGGGAAAACATTGCTCTATAAGTGTGTGTATTTTGGTGTCAGTCTAAATGTGTATGTGCAGACATAAAATGGCTCTCTGCACTGCAGATGTAATAACTTGAGGCATAAGGGAGCTGGTGGGAGGGAGGGAGGGAGGGAGGGAGGGGGCAGTTCAATTACAATTTCATTTCCTCCCTCATTCTCACTCTCTGCCAAGTAATTCATTTCAGAGGCAATTACCAATAGGACCGCAGCCCAGCCTGCTCCACTAACTCGAATGGATGAGCTGTCACAGACGAGGGGAGGGGGGGCGAGAAACTTCAAGCTGCTCCACACACACACTCACAAACAACACACCCCTGGGGATGAACAAAAACACTTTTCAGAGCTGAACCCGCAGACAGATTCACAGATATCTAGCAAAACATGTAAATCCACAGAGGCATCCTGCGGTGATAATCATTAAGGAAACAGCAGTCTTTGATTATTATGATCTATGATGGAAATCTAATTATTTCACCCAGATTAACACACTTCCTCTGAAGTGGTTTTCATCTAAGCTGATTTGCTTTTTGTTGAAACGAGATGTAATCCTTTTGACAGTCCTTAAAATACCCATTGCAATTCCTTCACAGCCATCATCTTCAGATTGGTTGATGCCATTGTTCATTATTTATCACATATCAAACGGTTTAGTGACAACAGTATGCCGTCTGTTGTAGCATTAGACAAGAGAACAGTAGCTACATATAGTTTCCTGCCATCAAAGTACATTAGTAAGAAGGCTTTGTGAGCAGGGCTGGCTATGAGGAGAAGACATGGTAGGATGTGACTGCTGACTGCCTGCTGACTCTAATTTAACTGTAATGGAATTACTTCCATTACCCTGCCTCCCCACTGGCCTAGACAAAGATAACATTGCCCTGAATGAAGGCAAACACACACTACAGCGTTAACACTTTCTCCTTTAAAGCGGTGCCCTGCAAAGTGGTATCAAGATATATGAGTTAGGTCAGCCACTGTTGTGCCACATGCACTCATCCTCTGCTAGTTTTCTAGGGCAGATGCCGGGTCAAACCAATTACTATTCCTGAAAGTTGCAATGTAGAATTGGACATAGCAAAAAGTGCAGATAAAGAAAATGAAATTGAATTGACCTCTACTATAACAAAGCACACAACAAGTTAGAAAGGACTTGCAAAGGGAAATACAAATGAATTAGGGTAAAAATATTAGGTATATGAAATGCCAAATTCTGCAAAAGAAAAGCTGTGTGACGCACATGTATGGGTGCACTCACATCTGCAAAATGCATACACGCTGCGGTAGGAATCAAAACCTGTTTATTATGTCCCAGTGACGAGGCATACATAAAGAGAGAGAAACAAATAAGTGGATGGTGCATTGATATATTGTTTGGCAGTCTTCCTTCAAGAACTACTCAAAATTAATTAGTGAAAAATGATGCTACGGTATGCAATAATTTATATTTGGGTATCGTTGGTATGTCAAAAACACAAGCTTTGTATGCGAATGGGAAAGTAGAGTCTTTGTGGTCTTGCGGATGTCTGAAGATCCAGACCAGGCTAAATCATTTCAAAGTAAATGGTTTAGTATTGATCTGCTTCTAGTCCCCTCTGCCCACAGAATGTGGTATGGTAGTCTGTATGCTGACTATGTGCTGAACAGACAATGATCCACACTTAGTCCAGTCTGGAAAAGAAAACTGAGCCTCAGCCGTGAAATGATAGGTAATTATTCCATCTCACGTCAAATGATGTGTAGTATGATGACTATGTTATGTCGCTAGCTCAGTTCACTCACAGAGAAACAATGGTTAGTATCCAAGAATAAACTTAACTGCAGGTATAACACCTCAAGGTTGCTATTTAGGTTAAAGAAATGCTGGACTCATAGCTTTAAGTCCATAATAATCTGTAGTTCGCTTTGAGGTAAATGAGTGTCTCCAGGTTCTTTGGTAAAACGCGGCCCGTCTCTGGCCGCAGACAGCGCCCAGCAGAAGTGAAAATATTTTCGACTACAGTGCCACAAGCAGGTACGGTTAACGCCCTCTTGGCCACGTTGGCAAGCAGAGGAAAGTCAATAGCTTTACGCCGCCAGTAATGCAAAGCCTCCTCATCTGTGGGTTCCTCTCGTAGGTAGACGGCCAGCTCCTGCTCCAGGCTCTTGGCCTGCGTTGTGGGTCTCTGCTTGATGAAAGAGAACAGCTTACAGGGCCGGGAAAGCGAGGAGGCCGGCGATGGAGCTGGGGTAGGAGGGGTCTGGGATTGAGGATGTAGGACTGTGTTGGGTTCTATGGGGCTTGAGGCTGTTGAATGTTTGGACAACTCCTCTATGAGGACTTGTCTGTGCCAGTCGGGGTTGCTGCTCCAAGTGAGCTTGAACTGGGGGTCCAGAGTAGTGGCAGTGATGTAGAGAGGGTCCTCCAGGACAGGGGCCAGCCGGCGCTCTACAGACTGGCTGAGGCCCAGCAGGAGAGAGGGGCAGTGTGGGGTCGACGACTCAGAGAGATGCTTACGAAGGCCCAGAACACACGGCAGGGCCAGACTGATGGACACATGTCTGTCTGTCATTCTGTCTGCCTGCCTGTCCCCTTGCACCATGTCCCCTTGCACCCTGTCCCCTTGCACCATGTCCCAGGCCTCAGTGAAGGGCTCCAAAGTGTCAGTGAGCTCCCTCAGCAGCACTCTCTCTGAAACCCCTGGCACCAGCTCCTCCGGACCGCTCACCTCCTCCAGGAACTCCATGGAGTCCAGCAGCCGCCGAAGCACCTGCATCAAACAGAAATAATATTTTTTATAAACTATACGGTTAAAACTATGGTCACACACACTTTTTATTTTGTCATTACAGAAAAGCATTTATCAGTATCGAAATATTAACAGCTTAAACATCTTCATAATCAGGACATTAGTGTTATAATGGATCATACTGCTTTCTGGTAACACTTAAAGGTCCCATGTCATGCTTTTCCGGTTATTACCCGTCCCCTTGTGTGTTATGAAGGTTTTTATGCATGTAAACGGTCTGCAGAGTCACAAACCCTCAAAGTACACCCTGTAGCGAGTAAAACTCTAACACAGAAAAGACCCGTCTATGCTGCCCCAGAACGCCCCGTTGGAGATTTTTCTTTTTCCATTTTTTTCTTCCTGAGTAAAGTGACGTGAACGGGCATAGTGACGTAACAGCTCCTCACACACACACACTCACTCAGCCTTATCTTTTCTCAGCTGCGGCTCAGCCTGAACTCAGCCTGAGACAGCGAGACACCGCGAAACTCAAAAAAAGGTGAGTTTTGCGGTGTCTCGCTGTCTCGCAGACCCCACGCAGCAACCAGGAAACGACCCCAGTAATCCAGCTCACACTGTGCGCAGCAGCGAGCCCCGCAACGTCCCGCCAACACGGCACCCAGACCCCACGCAGCATTCTCATCTGTTTGTCATTAGTGGTGTCATTTCCTGGTTGCTAACAAACACCATTGTAACACATAATCACTGATGTTCCGCTGTAACGGTGGTGGACTCATCAGAACATAGTGGGCGAGCTGACCAATCAGAGCACAGTGGGCTCATAGGGAGGGGGGGGGGCAGGATCTCCAACAAGCCGTTTAGGACAGAGAGTGAATACACATACTATACAGAGATGCTGTATGAGAAACCAATGTGAGTTTGGAACATTGAACGATGTAAATCTATTTTAGTAGACCTCAACAATGGAATTATGATCAGTAGAAATGGCCATGACATGGGACCTTTAATATTAACCTCCCTATCAAGCATTTATAAGCAGTATATTAACAGCTTAAATCTGGCTTTTAACACACTATTATGTAGTTGCAAGCCGATATTGGGACCTTTTCAAATGTTATTCAATGTTTTTGTTTCTACAACTCCTCACTTAAGACCTTTAATTAATGTTGCAACTGGTGATTGAAAATACAAGAATATATAGCTGTAAAACATTTGATTATGAAATGATTCACATGCATTTACACAAACTTAAAAGTGTGTTTATAATAACATCATGGTGTAAGAAGGTATTAAGTGATATACTATAAATGCTTAGCAGGGGGAGTGAAGGTAAAGGGCTGCTTGTATACTATTAATACCTTGAGTTGAGCAGCCCAGTCTCTTGCTGCAGGAGGGGGAGTTCCCGGCCCCCCCATGCTCAGCCCAGGACCATCAAACACCTGGCTCAGTTTTTCAGGAGGGACCGCCGAGGTAATGTAGTTGTAGAAACAGGCAGCCTTTGCCAGTGTGGAGGTGATCTGTGGACAGGAGTGTAACCCCTCTCTCACACACTGTTCAAGTGAGCGGGAGAAACAGTCCACTCGACCAACACCCAGACCCTGCTCCCACGAGTCCTTCCCCTCTCCTCCATCAGCATGGCCATTCTTTATCCCTTCCTCCTCATTGTTACTATTGTCCTCCTCTTCTCCATCAACTACGTCTTGCCCCGTAGCGGGAGCAGGTGAAAGCAGGAAACCGGGAAGAAAACATGGCTTTACTGTTGTTGTTGCCAGGAAAGGATCTGCAACCACACGAAATGCTCTCCCTGACACGCCATGAGAGTGACATACTTCATCAAAATCTGAAAGCACACGATTCCCAGAGAATCTTCCAGTCAGAGGAAGGCACGCCAGGAGAGCCGAATGCATCTGCCAATCAGATGTGAGAAAGTGGCAGGTGACACCAAGGTACCTACAGAGAGAGAGAGAGAGAGAGAGAGAGAGAGAGAGAGAGAGAGAGAGAGAGAGAGAGAGAGAGAGAGAGAGAAGTGGACTCATCAGTGAGGTAATCAAACGAAGAGGGATTCATGTTGTTTTTTTGTTGATTTTACCTCCTTACCCTGAAGTGGCTCCAGTTAAGCACCTCCAGAGATCCAGGCTGAGGCTAAGGGCGTGCACGGAGGCCAGGGCCTGGCGGGTTGCTACCTGGGCCTGGTAGGTGTAGGCTGGGAGGAGCTGGCTCTGGACGTAGTGCTGGGGCTCGGGGGTGTAGCGTGGCTCAAGGAGCTGAAGCAGCTCTCTGAAGCCTTGATTTTCCACTATAGACACTGGCTGCAGATCACGCACAATCATCTTAGCTATAGCCTCAGAGATCAGAACCTGTGGTGACAACACAAATAAATAACCCTTTTTATAGCAAATTAAATGAAAACCACTTGTTTTGATTTCATAAATAGTAGCTCAGTTACTTTCATCTAAAGTGATGCTGAATAACACACACCTGACGTGGGTCATGTCTATCAAACTTGGTCAACCCTCCCCCAGAGCCTCCTCCTACTCCTCCCTCAAGGGTTGCCATTCCTCCAACACCTCCTCCTCCTCCCACTCGAGTACTGATGGGGTGAGCGAAGCGGGTATTTCCTCCATTTGTGGTGAAACTGTGCAGGAAACCAGAGGAGTAACCCTCTCTCTTCAAATCCTTCCTTTTCACAAAGTCATCATACATAGCCTGGTGCTTCCGCTGAATGGGAGAGAGGAACAGCATGTTAGTGGTGGTGGATCAGTGATTTGACGTCTCACCATACTGCCCTGTATTGACATATCTGTGAAGGAGGATACGGTGTAAGAGCAGCAATACACAGACGAGTTTATATATAGCTGTCACTGTGTGGTATAGATTAAAACTGCTGGGAGGACAGCTGTTTCGGCCGGTGCAGAAATAAATACAAGACTGAGAATTAAAAATATATATTTATAGTTAACATTATTACCTTGAGATGCGTTACGAAGTTGGACGTGACACTCCGCTTCGCCTGGATCCTGGTACCACAAGCCTTGCAGTTGGACTCGATTTTGCCATTTTCACCTTCAAACACAATATTAAAGTAATCCAAAATAGACACCTTCGAAACTGACGCCATTGGAGCCCACAGTTCAAGTTGGGTAAAATCAACTTGCGATCAAGGACAATCTGAGCGTGAGGTATCAATCTCTCACAGCGACTCTAAACATGAGCACAGGCCAGTGTGTTTACTTCTCTATCCCTCATCATGCATTAAAGGTTGCCAGCTGCGCAGACAAAAGGAAATGTAATTCAAAGCGGGAGTTGCGTCGTCATAAATCGGCCACAATCTGACGGGCTGCTGCGGAAACACCAACAATAATAGTGAAGCTACATCCGTTGTTTCTGCGCTCCCAACAGTCTATAGGACGCAAGTGAAGGGGAGGCAGAGCGCCGTTTCATGGAGGCATATCAATTTATAATTGGACCAGGAAGTACACAATAAACGGGAGTGTCGTTTTCCTTTTCGGCAGTTCCCGGAAATGTTCGGCTGTCCCCAGTCCAGAGGAGGCAGAACATCCTCTGGTAGCCTATAATACTTCTGATAATATAATGTAATAACACCGAATTTCTGTCTAGATGATCAAATAAAAAATACTTACTTTATTAAACATCACATTTATTTATTTTTTGCATGAAACATTATTTAATCATTTAGAAGAAATAAGACAGAATCGAACATTTATATAATTTGGTACCACTTTTCAAAAAGGCCGCCTTTATAATGGGGTTAAAACGTTGTAAATAATGGCTCTATTAATGGTTAATAAGTGGACAGGTTGTGGAAACACCCACACTGTATAATAATCTTTATTTACAGTATTTTTCAAACCAAAAGTGTTCTCGACAAAACAAAGACCACATTGTGCGATCAACATGTGGAAATGAGTACACAAAAACCTTAATATATAATAAATCAAATAATTGATATGCAAATCATGTTTTACCGTTTTCTTTTCTAAATGGTTGCAGAGAATCAATATAACTGCATTACAACCAAATATAATACATTTAACACTAGTCAAAGGCATTGTTCACAACCTGGCAACCTACAATAGGTTAGTTTCAACCGCTTATAATGATCTATTAACTATAAGTAAATGCTTATTTTTTATTATTATGTCTTATAAATCATGTATAAATTGTGCATTATCGAGAAATGGTACCATCCATTTATTGAAAGATTCTAAAAAGTGATCTTGTCTACAACACAGAAATACTAAAACAGCATTCACAAACACATTGTCAAAAAACACACAAGTTCAAACTGTATCTAATATTATTTACTCATTCATTCAAACAGGATAATCTGTAATCTCTCGTTCAAAAATCCACCCAGAGGATCCATGTTGAGTTCAATTGGCCCTGAAGAAATAGACTGACTCCAACCTGTCACTCTCTTTAGCCAGAGAGTCTTCTCAGGTCATCTTCAGGTTAAACTCAACAGTTATTTAGTCTGTCAGCTTTTCCAACAGAGTTGCTGAGACTTCTTGGAGAATGGGTTTGTCCTTCCTGCATTGCTTCAGCTCCTGCCTGCTGTTCAAAATGGCAGTCTGAAGGGTTGCAATCTCAGCTGACAGCTCAATTACTGTAATACGACAGAGAAAAAGGAGAGAAGATGAGGGATGATGAAAATGATTTACCGATAGTATGCTGAGAACTCCGTCAGTTTTCATCTTGTACACATGCATAACGATACCAGTGACCAATACAACAACCTGGTTATTTCTCTAAGCCTTATGAGTGTAATTTCTTATGCAGAATTGTTATTTTTGCCGGTTTAAAATTAATTTTACATGAATTAATTTGAGGTAGCAAGACAATCAGTTATTTTTCCTTTTCTCCAAGTTAATTTATCTATCCATCCATAAACATCTATAACCATATAGCTATTGTTGTAAGTATACACATGCAGCTATATACACACACTCTATAAGATTCCTACATATATACAAGAACCTAATGTGAACTTGAGAGCTTAAACCATAGCAACTAAAGAATTGAAATTGACAAAATATAAGCAACATCTGATAACACTTAATATATCATGTGGCATAACAAAAGACCCTGCATATATAGGCTAGGTAATGTATTGCCGGTAATGCTACATGTTTTTAAATTGCAGATTGTGTATCACAAATTGCCAGTGTATTATTTTATTGCATTGTTTTGTGAATGATCAATAGGTTATGTTGAATTACGGAAGCATTTGTTTTTTAGGTTGTTATAAGTTGAGTTCTAAGGACAACCTCAAGAATCTCAGGGTAAAGCATATTGTTATATTGGATGAACTGTGTATAACTGTTATTGGATGGTTGTTTTGGTACATTGTGGAAGGAAAGATAACAATAACTATTCATAGCAGAATTAAGTATGTAAGTATTGAATTAAAATGACCATGGCTATATCCTTAGGTTAATTACGTATCAGCAGATCAAATGTTTGAGTGATTTAAATCCGAATCTTTTGGAGATGTAACATTACATTACATGTTACTTGTTAGACGCTTTTATCCAAAGCGACTTACATACTCAATACTGTGGGCAATCCCCACAGGAGCAATTTGGGGTGAAGTGTCTTGCCCAGGGACACAACGACATGCTGACTGCAGTGGGACTCGAACTTGCTATCCTCTGATTCGAAGATCAGCGCATTATCCCACTGCGCCACACGTCTCCCTAACATCATACCTTGCGTGAATGACGATTGTGCTTGTTTTAGAGTTTGTGGCACCAGAATCCCAAACCATTTCAGTGGATCTTGCTGCGGATTCTGGTCACTTTTTCTTATTGGAGTTACTTCAGGAGCTTTCTCACTGCTGGCTTCTTCACCTTCCTTTTTTTCTGGGATATTATTTTTCGGTTTGTTTCTTCTCCTGACACCTATAAAACCACATGATTTAATACATCAAAAATGGATTTATTTTAGGTTAATTTAAACAACATTATTTGTATCACCACATGTACGGTAGCAGACTCACCTTCTTCCTGAGGTCCAATATCCTCTATTGACATGGCTTCTTTTCCTGCCTCATCTCTAGCCTTTTGTTTGGACCTTTCGGTGCAGAAATCCACCTCACCATTGTCCAGTGTTCTATAATGCATCAATTCAAGACATCACAATTAACAATCATTCTAAATCAACACAGATTAAGCTTGAAGCAAACATTACTTCAAAACACAACATCTAATACCTCACCTTGCATGAACACAGACCAGAGGCTCTATCTCACTTGCATACTGAAGTGCAGAGACGCGCTTGTTTCCCATGGAATATCGTGCCTTGGCCATGGAAAACCATCCCTGTGGGGAACAAGAAATTGAAACTAAATTGTTGGCGGGAGTAGAGGAAACAGGATAACATAAAGGCCTTCAAATATATATATTTTTTAAAAGATAAAAAAGTAAATGTTAGATGTATATGCACTTACATCTGAGACATATATCTTGTCAAATTCAACATGTATATTTTCTATTTCAACATGTATATTTTCTATTTTATTTTATTTATTTTCTTGTTTATTTATTTCTAGTTTTGTTTTATTGTAAAATGCCTTGTCTTTTATGCTGCTGCAACAAAAACAATTTCCCAAATTGGGATCAATAAAGTACCATCTTATCTTATCTTATCTTATTTGAAAAATAACATAGGCACAATAGATGTTTGTAATTGAAGAATAAGAATAATACAAATAGTAGTTAAATACAAAATAATAGTACACAAAAACAGCAAATCCTTTGTAGCAAACATTTATTGAATGATCAAACATTTCAGCTCGATTTTAAAATGGTTTCCACTACAAAAACGTTTTGTGCAGATTTATCTCATCCATTAAAAAACACATTTTAAACATAGATAGATGACAGTGATCAAGTTAACTCTAAATTGTTTTCTGTGTGCTACCTGCTCAATGAGAGAGTTGAGAGCGGCTCGTTTCTCCTCCAGTAACTCCAGCTGGTCCATGAACCGGAGCAGCTTTTCGTCCAGTAACAGAGAAGATTCTTCCAATTCTAAAACAACCATGTCGATTTTTTCAGCGTTACCAACTCGAGTGCTTTCTCATACAATCTTACCCGGCGTAGTTTTTACTAAAAAAACATCCGTTCAAGATTTAAACCAGGTTTTAACGCACTACATTGACCTATACGATTTTAAAAGACGTTACTACTTCCGTGTATGGGAAGCATCATGTGACAAATGCCGTCACGTGATCAACATCACATGTCTTCTTCTTCTTCTGCTTCTTCTTCTTCTTCTTCTTGGCGAGTCGCAACCACTTGGAGCATTATCGCCACCTACTGTTGACTTATTGAATCTTCAAGTTAAATCTTTGTCCTCAGACCTTTATATATACAGTCTATGCCCCAGACCAGTGTTTTTGAGAAACTTGAAGATCAGTTTGTGAACTTCTTCATTTCTTGAGTTACTTGCGAATATTGACTTGAAATTCATGTCCTTAATGTTATGTTGTTCCATTGCAGTTTTCAGAATGAGTCTTTGCCTTGCCGGGCAGCTAAAAAATACATGATTTATTGTCTCTGATTGTTGGCATTGCAACCATCACAATTGCCAGTTGGATGTTTTCCAATCAGATGCAGTGATGAGTTGAATCCGGAGTAAAGTTTTAACCTAACCTCCTCACCTATCTTTTTTCTCGTAAAAAATAAAGTTTCAGATTTTTCTACCGACAATCTAAACCCCCATGTCAGAGACCAGCTTTCAATTTCCGTAATTGCTTCCTGAATCTTACCTACAATATAATTTACATTTCTACCCCTTTTCCAAATAGCTCCATAATCTGCAAAAAGTGTACCAATATCGGATCCTGTTTATCATTTATCATAATAGAGAACATAAGAGGACTAATTACGCTCCGCTGCGGGGTTCCATTCAAACAAAAAATCCATAATCCAATATACGTTACCTCCCAAACCCATAATGTCCAGTTTTATTAATAATCCTTCCTTCCACATCATATCGTAGGCTTTTTCCACATCAAAGAATACAGCTACAACATCCTTATTCGCTTGAGCTTTCCTGATTTCAGATTCCAGGCACAGCAGTGGATCTAAAGTACTCCGCCCCCTTCTAAACCCACTCTGATATGGAGTCATTAATTCATTTTATTCTACATATACGTCAGCCTTTCTGTTATCATTCTTTCCATAAAACATCAAATGTCCCGGATTGTACCAATAGATAAAAGGGGATGAATTACATCCATTGCCATTTAAAGAAGAACTTTTTGTACTGGGTGTAACTGTAACGTATATCCTTCACAAGTATTGCTGAAAATCAGTTAATGTTAATATTTTACTTATCTTGGAACTATACACAATAAAGGACAAAAGAGGTAGTTCCCATACCGGGAGTCGAACCCGGGCCGCCTGGGTGAAAACCAGGAATCCTAACCGCTAGACCATATGGGACCGATACATTGCTTGCGATAGACTTAGCTTTTTATTCCAGTTGGATGGGTCATTTGTGCATACGAAAGATTAAAAGTGTTGATTAAAATCTACAAATGTGGCTGAAGCAGAAGTTGAAAATACCTTGAAACAATATTTCATATTTGCAAATACGTTGTACCTCATCCGACCGAATAGATAGTTAGCTTTTCTAACATTAAATTAAACTTTTCGGTCAACGTTACGTTATCTAATGTAAGGTCAAATGTAACTCGGGTACCGTAAAATATGATGGAAAGCCTCCCTGGCGTTGACTATATTGAATACGACCAAAAGCAAAGTAAGTAAAAGAAAACGACAGCTCTCAACCTCTCTCAAATAGAAAACTCTGCTAACCTCTGATGTATGCTAGCAGACAAGTTAGCTTGCTAACTATCTCTACCGTATTTGCCGTTGATATAAGAGCCATATATACACAGTACACATATAAGACACTATATATTTATATACATATGGTTAGAGGTCTTGAGGAATAAAGAATGTCTGCTTTTTCGCGGACATATGAAGTACCCCAAAACACAGTTGATACCCCAAAAGCATCCGCCCAGGACTACTTTATAAAGCTAACTGAAGTCGATGGTCGCATCACTCCCAGTAGCGCGCCGTGATCGTATAGTGGTTAGTACTCTGCGTTGTGGCCGCAGCAACCCCGGTTCGAATCCGGGTCACGGCAGGGTTAAATCCCTGACACGGCTTGGGAGGACAACTTTTTTTCTTTTCTTTTAATAGTCTTGCAATGGGGCGGAGGTATTGGTATCATCATTATTTGTCAAAGAGAAATCCTATACAAATTCTAAACAAAGTTGGCCAGGGACGGCCCTGTATCATATACATCAATATAAAACTATACACCAAACTATATACACAAAAATGTGTCATTAATACAATAAATGTATAACAAGTTATTTAAATTACTGTTGACAGTCTTAATTAAGTTAACGTTTATGTAACATTGAAACGTTACCGTTAGCCATGCTGGCTTGCTAACTTTATGCAGACTAAAGTTGCTGTATATCAGTGTTGTTGCTTACTTTGAACAGCTCTGATGCGCCTCGCGACAGGTCCACTGTCAGACAACAACAGGGTGAGGGGGGCGGGTTCGGAGCGAAGCCGTCCCGTGAGTGGCTATGTCCATTGTGAACTCGTGGAGTGATTGGCTTAGGTCCAGTCTGGGCAGCCAGCATAAGAACTATTAAATGTAAATGTCAAAAAGAACATCTGCATAACTTAATTAATCATTATAGCAACACACTAATAATCATTGTTTAATCATCTGTCTGTGTATTTTGGTTCGCGGATTAGTTGGACATACGTTTTATAGGCTTGTTGTGCAAAATATCACATGTTTTCTTTCAAGATAAGATTTTGTAATCTTCAGAAATCTAATAGATGTTATTTGAGATATTAGTGCTCAGTAGTCTCATACGATCACCTCAAAGTGAAAGATCTTTGCTAGAAATCATTGTGCAATATCTTCCCTTAGAGTAGCCTACTGATATTCACCCTTCACCGACTAATGAAATGTGTAATAACTTGTCAATGAGAAGAGGGGACTATACTTTGGGTTAGGCGACACGCTTTTATTGGTTGTTGCCAACGACCACATCTATGATCCGAGATGATGAGCCAATCAGCGGGCCAGCAGACCGTATGTGCTTTATGCATACTATCTTCTGATTGGTCTTTGACACCACAAGTTACCGCCCCATGCTCTGGTCAGTTCCGTGTGTGAGTTTTTACTCACTGATATGGCATGCAATTAGACAGCTCTGGACTGTTGGATCTCCACGATACTTCATTTTTGAATTAATCTAATAGGATACTCTTGTGGTAATACACGTTGAACATTTGCAGCTGGAATCGCGTTTTTTTAAGCATTACTGGTAAGGACAAAAAACGCATGCATTAGCCTATTGCTTATGTCTGCTATATGGAGTATATCAATACAACCTTTCTTTACTTGGTGTAAACATGTGTGACAAATAGCTAATGTTAAAAACGTAGTGCAGTACATTGCAGAGAGCCCTTATTCATCAATTAAACATATGCTCAATTATTCTTAAGCCGGGACAGTCTACAGGCAAAAACATATATGTTTTTTAAAAATCCTTTGCTGTAGTAACATGACTTCTTTTAGACTAGTGGAGAAATAAAATACATCAAGGTGTTACTTGAACTACACTTTATCTATTTGTACTATTATGGAGCAATGCAAAGATACAGTGTATTGAAAAGGCTTTGTAAAAACCTTTGACTTTTAATGTCAAAAAAGAGATACAAGATTTTTTAACATAACTTTATCCAATGTTCAGATTTCTGTGTATGCACATTAGCACACAATTAAAAAGAGAATGCACCATTTACATATTTAAACCTAACATTTCTAAAAAGCTTTGTTAATAGGTAATCAGTGTACCCTTTTCACCTGCACTGTCTCCCTTTAACATTACATGATTAAAGTCAACACATTTTAAGCTTACTGTGGATGAAGATTGTTGACCATCTTTTCTTGAAACAGACAATGGATGCCACATCAGCAACTGGAGTTCTGCATCCCTATTGGCCACGGGACCTTTTGATTCCCACGTATGTGGCCAATGACAGATCCATGTCAGAGATTCTGGTGTTCCTGTTTTCTGTGTCTGGGCTCTTTCTGCTTGTGACCTGGCTGATCACTGGTCAGAAAGGGAAAACTGGCAGGCTGGGGACATGGAGGCGTCTGGCTGTGTGCTGGTTTGCTGTCTGTGGTTTCATCCATTGCGTCATAGAGGGATGGTTCTCACTGTATTATGATATTATTCCAGCAGACCAGAGCTTCCTGTCACAGCTGTGTGAGTAACCAAGTAAACAAGAAAAACATGTTTAGAAAAGTGTATAAACTGTGATTAAATGAGATTAAATATGTTTAATTTTCTTCTCTCAGGGAAAGAGTACTCTAAAGGGGACAGTCGATATGTGATGTGAGTTCATCTTTTCTCAGAGCTACGTTCATTTTTTGCATTAAAAATAAGTTGAGAAACTGTCACTAATTGTACCCTGCACATTTCTAGAGCGGATAACTTCACTGTCTGCATGGAGACTGTGACTGCATGGTTATGGGGACCTTTCAGCTTCTGGGCTGTGTTTGCCTTCCTAACCAACAAGCCCTACAGATTTGTTCTGCAACTCATTATTTCACTCGGTAAGATGGCGTAATTACTACCCCAATTTTCAAAGTTGTTGTCATATTTATATGATGGTTTTATGACATAATCTCATTTCAGGTCAGCTGTATGGAGCAGTGCTTTACTTCTACACAGAGCACAGAGATGGTTATTCTCATAGTGAGTTGGGGCATCCAATTTACTTCTGGTTTTACTTTGTGTTCATGAACGTGCTATGGATCATCATACCGCTAGTGCTCATTGTGGATGCCTGGAGACAGTTGTCCGCTGCACAGACACAGACTGACAACAAAAAGTCTAAGAGGAACTGACAACAGGAAAATCTGACTGGGTCTACGAGACAATTTCTACAGGAGGGACAAGAGAAAAGACAACCGGGAAGAGCATACACTTTGTGCTATGAAATACATTCAATGGGACAAAATAAATGATTAATTGTTTGGATTCTGACAGAGCTAGAGCTGAAACTACCGATTATGTTCATTATCTACTAATGTGCAGATTATTTTTCTAGATTAATTGATTATTTTTTTGTCTATAAACATTTAAAAAAATTGAACAAAAAATGTTCATCCTATTTTCTCAAAGCCCAAGATTATTATATTCAAGGTCTTTTGTCTTGTCCAAAACCCAAAG